CAACCAGGTGTGCGAGAGAGGTCATCGTTTCTAGACAAGGCAGAGAGAGTGAGAACTTTGAGGTGCGAGAAGCGATAGTGTAGTGTCCTCAGAGATTGCGTAGGTATTTGGAGGGCTGAGAATGGTAGGATAGCCTCCTTATGCAGCGCAGTCCCACGCTTGCACTTGGCCATACGAAACTCGTTCAGACGGACCTCGCTGTTAACGATGGCGTCCACGACAACCTGAAAGCATCTACTACGAAATAGGCGATCAGTTGCGGAAAGAAGACTGCTGGATTCCGCGAGCTGGGATCCCCTCGGATGGAAGTGAACGGCCGTCAGGTTGGTGAAGCCTCGCAATGCTCGAACAAGGCCATCGTACAAGCGGGTTGGATACTCGCTTTCCACGACATACGTGAATGTGGGTGCTTCGTCCTTGATATCTTTGTCTTGGATGCCAGATACCCTGGGAAATCGTTTGGGTGGCGGAAACCTGCCGACACGGCTAATAGCAGCGAGGACACTATACTCCGCTGATGTCAGGAGCTGGATCTGTAGGACTTTGACAGAACCACGGAAATGAGGCGACTGCGCAACGTTGATGAGACGGTTGAGAGAGGGTGGTCCAAGAGTAGTCTTTAGCCGGGAGAAAGCGCGTTCTACAAATACAGAATGGGTGAGGAAGCGACATCTCTTGGATGCAAGACGAAGGCTTTTATGAGACGAGAGGTTAAGAGTGGCAGCAACGAGCTCGAACAGCTCGACAGGAAGTTGCTCTAAGTGCGAAGTCATGATGGCATGCTGACTGGAAGCTGGGGCTGTGAATCAAGGATGTTGATGGGGACGGGTGAAGGGTGGCACATGCTGTCAGGGCCTAGCCCGGAGCTAAGAGCCCGTGATAGCGTCAACCCCGCGAGTCCAGGAGCAGCGCACGACCTCAACCCAGCGAGCGACGAGAAGCCACGCTTCTTCCGAGTGAACAGCACTGTCGTTCACCTTATCGGCTTCATCTACTTTTTTTCTTCCACTTCGCTCCCCATCACGGTTGCATCGCCCACGGGTGCCGAACACCGGCCACAACGCAGTGGAGCCCGACAAAGATTTGACAGGACCGCACCTGCCGCCAACAGCTCAGACAACCACCATGGACTCGATGCGCAGCCTCAACAAGTCGCTGCCCAAGACAAGAGGGCAGCACGACGTGCACCAGTCCTTCCGCACCGCTGCCCTCAACGTGACGCACCTGTACAAGTCCGCGCTTGCCGACATCGACAGGGCCCGTACCGACGGCTACCAGGAGGCTCTCGATGAGCTGCTCACCTTCCTGGACAAGGAAAATATTGGTGTGGGCGACGGCGAGGGCTGGCGAATACGGCAGTGGGCCACGGAACGACTAGACGGGAGCTTGCCCAAGCAGACGAGCAGCGACAGCGACGACGAATACCTCGACCACAACCGCGCCAGAAGCTCATCACCCATCATGGACCGAACCCACGGCATAGACGACTCACGCACGCTGGCACCCACAACGATTACGGACACACGCTCTGACTCTGCGCCGCCCCTCCAGATGGAAGCTTCTACGACCGAGGCCGACATGTCGCCACTACACCACATCTTCGAGTTCTCTGCAGCCCAAGCTCTCCCGTCTGAATCGCCAAACGAGACCGCTGCCGCCGACATGTCAGCTGCTGCCCGCCGCGCTTTCCCTGCTTCTCGCCGCCCCACAAACCGCTCGTCTACCCGAAACCTCCAACGATCCGCCGCCCAGAACCTCTTCCAACTAGGCAACGGTGCAGGGCAGAAGAGACGACTCATGAACGACTTCTTCAATGTCGATGGCTTCAACGACCGGCGAGACGGCTCATCCGGCGGAGGATCCAAGCGCGGACGCATGTCATAGCACCGCAGCTCGAAGCCTGAGGGCCTGTCATCGAACTCCAGGCAATGACACGAACGACTGTTCGACGAATCACGACTACTTGCATCATACCCAGACGGCGCACAGGGCTAGTGGATCATTTTTCATACGCATTGGGGGAGGCTTACTAGACGCATTCTGTGGTGTTATTGATTTCGGAGGCTATATACCTTTTCGCATTTTCTACGGAGTGGGACATTATTCGGGGGTGGAAGTAGATAGCGGTTTTTTTTTTGGAGGGTGTTAATACCATCATTACATGTCCTCAACTGTTGCATGCCATATGCAGTGACTCATCTCGTTCGTGAAGATGTGATTCCCAAACGCCGATGCATGCCCAAGTTTGTACTCAAGTCTTTCCACCTACAATACCTAGGTATACGTTCCAGGCTTGTGACCTTCAAGCGTCTCCTTGTATCCCTCCCATTATGCAAACCACCGATATAACCCCAGGCCCACCATGACGGCGCTTGTTCCTGTTATTGCCATTCCCCTACTCCGCATTCCGAACATGCTTTTGCTGGCTCGTATCGCGGCTTCGTTGGCTTTGATCTGTGAATGGCCCGAGACGTACGTGAAGGCGCCGAGGCCCAGAAATGTAGCGCTTCCTAACAACCATGTCAGTACTGAGGTAGATACAGTGTGTTCTAGAGTACAATACCGACTACGCGACATGGAGTGCAATCTTCAAATTCCGCTCTATCGTTCTTGAGAGCCTCCTTGAAGGTCGGAGCGGAAGGAGGTGGCAGTACCATGATCGCGACACCAGACAGACAGACCCGCGACTAACTCAGATGCAACACGCTGGCTCTATCGTGTAAAGATCTTGCGACCAGAAGTCTGCATGACATGCTAGCCATGCAGGGATCTTTCTAGCTCCGGCAGCTCCCCGCCCAAACTGCCCCACGACGCGGACCTCACGTCTTCCCACGCGCATGGCTCGCAGCTGACATTTCCCACCATGAGCGCAATCGAAGCTCTCTACATCTTTGATGAGCACAAGTAAGACGCGTCTATTCCAGCGATTACGTCATCCGTCGCTAACATCCTCAGCACTCCACTGCTCGAACACACATACCTCAACCGCCCGCCTCCATCCTCCGTCCTCCTGCCTCTCTATCTCGCGCATCCCGCCCCCCGGCCACCGCTGATATATCTGCCCAACACCAACCCGCCGACACTGCTATACAGCATAATACAGGACCAGCTTCTGTTCCTGTGCCCGGCATCAGCAGACACCGATCCCCTCGCCGTCCTCACCTTCCTCCACCGCCTCACCGACGTACTCGAAGACTTCCTAGGGTCTCCACTACTGGCGAGCAAGATCGAGGGAAACTACGATGTCGTCGCGCAACTACTCAGCGAGATGGTGGATGGCGGAATCATCGCGAACACAGAACCGAACGCGCTGAGAGATGTCGTCGAAGCGCCGAATCTACTCAAGAGTCTACTGGGAGGAGTGGGACTTCCTTCTTCGACACCGAGCTCGCTCGCGCCCTCTGCTACTGGAGCATTTGGTCTAGGCGGTGGAAGAGCAAGCCCACGACTAGGACCATCACCGACCTCAAGTCAAACAGGCTCACCGGTGCCGTGGAGAAGAGCGAACGTCAGGCATACGAGCAATGAGATGTATGTGGATATCGTGGAAACACTAGAGGTCACTTTGTCACCATCTGGTCGCCCTTTAGCCGCAATGGCCAACGGTACGATCGCCTTCACGGCCAAGGTCTCCGGAATACCTGATCTCATACTACACTTGGGCTGCGCAGGTGGCATACAAAACGCTGTCTCGCTTCCGGTCTTCCATCCTTGCGTTAGACTGAACCAATGGAAAGCGAGGCCAGGTGAACTCTCGTTCGTACCGCCAGACGGTCGCTTCGTGCTCGCTGGGTACGAAGTCGACTTGCTAGGCTCTGCAGCACTCGATGCCTTCTCCACAGAGAAGAACGCGAAATCTTCAAGTCCAAAACTAAACATACCAGCTACAGTATCCGTCCACCCCTCCCTCGGCCCGACCGGCACAGACTTCGAAGTCAAACTCCAACTCAACCCACGCTTCAGCGAAAACAAGCCCTCCCAACCCAGCGCAGCGAAAGCGAGCCTGGGACGCGTATCTTCCTCGACAGGAACCACGTCCGCCCCCGCGATCGAAGAGATGACCATTCACATCCCGCTTCCAGCGTCCGTCAGAAATGTCGCCGATCTACGCGTCGCTCGCGGAACAGGAGATGCAGGCTACGCGCCCGGCGACAGGGCAATAGAATGGCGGATTAGCAGTCGCGAGATAAGCAATCTCATGTCGCAAGACCGGGGTGGAGGCGTCGGTGCTACGGCTACATTGCGTGGGACTGTTATTGGCCAAGACGACCCATCTGCGGAGGATGCTCTGGACGCCGGGGGGCCTGTATCGTTCGCGACGTCGACATACGATTACGATGATGATCAGGGCACACAGATCTCCTTACCTGCAGCTTCATCGTCTAGCGTGCCCAAGCCAGATAGCGATGCGAAGATCAAACAGGCAAACAAAGTCCTCATGCCGAGCTGTGCGACCATCAGCTTCTCCGTTAAGGGCTGGCTGCCGAGTGGAATCAAGGTGGAGAGTTTGAATGTAGACCAGAAGAAGAGTAAAGGCCTGGGCAGTGGTGTTACGCCGTACAAGGGCGTTAAGTATCTCTGTGTCAGTCGGAAGGGTGTAGAATGTAGATGTTAGAACATACACTCGGCTACGACAATGGAATCGATGAGACAAACAACTCCCAATGAGAGATATTCACGAGTTTGCTGCAGAATGTGCATCACATATGAAAGATGTTCGTGTCCATCGATGACATTATCAACTATAACTACCTGACATTCGTTGATGGCGCTGAAAATACACCCAGACATCCTATACTGTCTTATCAATGAATCAAGATGTCGCTCTACATACTCTTTTTTTTTACTGTAGATGCAAAGAACTACAGAGCAGACAGTACTCTCGCTCGATTGAACGCATTGGAATGCGCTCGCGTCGTGAAAGTCGTCAAATCATCGGTCATCTTCCACGGTGTACCTCTTCCTCCCTCCCGTACACCGCGTCAAGTCACTAGGCGGACCTAGTGGAGAGTGGTGAACAATGCGTCACCAGGTGCTGGGGCAACGGGCTTGTTGCCAGGCGCTGGCGAAACAGGCTTGTTGCTCGGTGCCCGCTGTCCACGGTTCCCACCCTTGCCGCCGCTGCGGTCGTTGCTCCCACCACGAGCACTACCCTCAGGCGAATTCCAGGTCTTGCGTGGTCGTCCTCCGATCCGCTTCTCGATCTTCTCCACTTTGTCTTTCAGAAACTGATGCTTGGCCACCAGCTTCTCCAAATCGGCCGCGCCCTTGGCGTTGCCAACCTTCTTCTGGTTGACAAGGTTATGGACCATGCAGTCAAAGACCGGGTCGTTTTCCGGGTATGCGAGCTGGCAGAGAAGGTCCATGAATTCGAATGACACATCCTGAGCACGGATGCGGTCGCAGAACTGCTTGGTGAACTGCGCCACATAGGTGTTGTTCAGGCCCAGGACGCGAGCAGCGCGGCAGATGTGCAGATTTTTCTTATCATACACGGTCTCGGTTTGGAGCCGGACAGAGTAGACCCTGCTCTGATAGGTCATCTCGTCCATCCATTTCAGATGTGCCGTCGCAGCATCAGCGTCCATTGACCCGGCAGGAAGAACCCACGAGGTCGCATCGGGGTTGGCGGTGAAGTACTTGTAAGCCTTGCCTGAGCACTGCATCAGGACATACTTGGGAACAGTGGCCAACTTGGCCTCTCCGAGCTTGACGACAACCTCGGGACCATTGCCGAAGACGACGCGCTGCCCATGTGACATGTGACGGATGTCAGCCGCAGGGTTGAGCTCTGGCATGGTACCAGTCTTGTCACGCGCCTGCCTAGATGAGTGGCCCCTGGGAGTGGTATGTCCATTCAGCTCGGCAGCGGGCGACGATGGAGCTGGAACCTTCGCAGCAGCCGACGCGACTGGCTTCTTCCCGTACTTGGACATGTCGATGCCGAAGGTCAGGGTCTTGGGTTTCGGGGCCGGAGGAACGACCTTCAGCGTCTCTTTCGTCACGAAATTGGGGAATGCAGATGTGACGAGTGATGGGCCGCTGGTGTTCTGTGCCGTTCCGGTCTCCTCGGGCTGCTTAGTGACGACGGTTGCAGACTTCTCATCCTTGACTTCCTCAGTCATGGGAGCATCAACCATCTCAAAGCTGTCTGAATCAGAAGCCACAGATGCGGTCTTCTTAGCCTTGGTCTCTGTCTCGGTAACAACATCGGCGCCATTAGACTTGATGCTTTCCGATGCTTCATTCTTGCGTTCATCCTCAGCGATCACTTCGTCGTTCGTGGGGACGGGAACGAGCGCGGCTGACTCCTGTTCAAGGCTGCTAATGGTCGCAGCCTTCTTCGCTTCCTCAAGGTTACCAATCGTCGAGATCTTCTCCTGAAGCTCAGCCTTCAGATTCTTCATCTGGCTGTTCTTCTCTTCAGCCTCGCGCAGAAGCTCCTGGTTGTGAGCAAGATGGTCGGTATTCGCCTTCTTGAGCTTCTCGATCTCAACCTCTTTCTTTTGGATCTGCGTCTCGAGATCGCCAATGTGGGTGTCCTTGTCTTGGACTGCGCCTTCTAGCTCCGCGATACGAAGTGTCTTGATTTCGACCAAGGCGTCCAACTCTTTGACACGCTCCTCTTTCAGGGCAACGGTGGTCTCCAGGGTGGCGATCTTGGGGTCCTGGCTCATGAACTCGGCGATGAAGGTGTTATCGTCATCGTCCTCGTCGGCCCAATTGGTCTTCTTGCCAACGGCAGCCTTTGGGTAAAGACCGTTCGATGCGCCATTGGTAGCCTGGCCGTTGGTCATGCCCTTCAGTACGAGACCCTTCTCCTGTTGAGGGTCTGGTTTGGCCTTGGGCGGTGCCTCTGCAATCTTGGGGTTCGGGGAATCGGCGGACTTGATCTTGCTACCGCCAGCAGCCCAGAAGGAAGGAGCCGTCGCCATCTTATGATATCGCTTGACGAGTGGGGTAGGAGTCGGGGGTTGGGGTTGGGGCGCGGCTCGTGAGGTGTGGGAGGTGGAGGTGAGGGCGAAGCTCGCTTGATGGACACAGATCGCCTAAGGAAGGCTCGAGTAGCGCAAGGTCGACAGAAGATTTTGGCGGTCGGGGCTTCGGAACGCAAGAGCTGTAGCTGTGCAGTTGAGGAGCGAGTGTGGAGAGAGTAAGAAGAAAGGTGAGGGAGGGCGGATTATGTACTGGGGAGGGAGCGGCTGGCAAAATTGAGGAGTGCGTATGAAGGCGGAAGTGTGCGAGGCGAGTCCAAGCTTTCCGTGGTGTTGAGGGTCGAGTGAAGACAAGCTTGGAAGGAAAGAGCGCCACACGAGGGAAATTTCGACAGAAAGCAGGCGCAGTCGCGCTGTCAAAGGCTGAACCTAGTTTCACCGCACATGCAGACAAGCATTGTACCGCTTCCAAAGCTTTTCACAGTTCCAGGCAAATCATGGTAGCGATGCGTTTACGTGCGCTGATATTTGAGATGACGAACCTCTGATAGGGCGAGACCACGGATAGACGAGTTTGCCATGTGCTTATCCGCTCCAAGGAAGTAACCCTCATCCAATCCCAAGATAATCGCTACTGCGAGCCAATATACCACTCATCCCCACCGAGTGAAGGAGTGATGGCACATGTACGCCTCCCGGTATGCACTCAGCCATGATGCCTCAACGACACTGTTTCCCTGTGCACTCCAAGTCCAGAGTCGACGGGAGTCGATCTTCATTCTCCATCTCTTTCCAGGGCGCCACCATGTTCATTCACGCTTCCTTTCTCGTGAAAGCATCTTCCCCTTTCATTCGGCATTTCAGCGCGCTCGCTGTGCGCGAAGGGGAAGCCGGTATCGCCCGGGGCGTGGTTCACTGGAGAGGTTTTATCACTGTGACACGTGCGAGGAAGGTTCCATTGCGAGATGTTGTCAGGGAAATCGAAGTAGTAATCACGTATTAATATTCACAGTGGTGTTCGCCCGTTGTAGAAGCTATGAGGCACGAAGTGATGGGGCGGAAGACGCGTCGACGCGACAGCCCTGCGATCCCCGCATCCGAAGTCCGAACTCGTCAGCCAATGGGAGCTCAAGGAAGTCTACATACACCTACATCTCTCCTGCATCGATAGCAACTGTTTCTATAAGATTACACCATGCCTCGTCTCGTTTCTCAAGCCTGGCACCGCTGCAACTATCTCCGAGATCATCCTGAGGGTCAGACCAGTCCGCCACCATGACAACCCAAGCCCGCAACCTCTTTCACCACCTACCCCCGCCAGCGGAATGCCTCGCACTCTTCATCGCAACCCTCGAGATCGTCCCTTTCGGCATCATAGGTCTACGAAACCCTTCCTTCTTCGCTGATGGCTACGGTCTGCCCATCTCGGCCGAGTCTGACACATCGCCCGCATCTGCGAAACGATCCAGCAATACCAAAAACACATACGACGAGGATCAGAAGACCAAGAAAGCCCTGGTTGCAGCGATAGCAGCGCGCAACGTTCAGAACGGTGTTCTCTTAGCTGTCTTCGGTCTGGTACTGCGAGACAGGAGGAGCTTAGGAGTTGCGGTCATGGCGGGATTAGTCGCAACCGTCGCGGACACGGTGATTGTCAGCGCGTATGGAGCGAAGGACAAGATCGCGGGTCACTACGTTGGCATCTTCAACAGCTTCGCGATTGGGGGAAGTTTGCTATACTGGGGAAGGAACGACCCGCTGTGGTGAAAGTACGGTCGAAGGTGTGAACAGGGGATGGAAGGAGAGAATCAGGCACGATGACCCGGCGGCATGAAGCGAGGTGTAGACATGAATCGCGGGGGTTTGCCTAGCGTCCAAGACAACCAGCCGCCATCCAGGCAGCAGTCCCTATCCTTATTCCTTCTTCTTTCATTCTTTTCATTTCGTTTGGTACTGACACCCACTATGGCATGTAAGCACACGATTCTACAATTAAATTCGTCGCCCTTCGCAGAATTAGCTGGATATGAACAGCCGGATGCCGCAGCACGCGCAGCAGCAGAAACGACATCTGGAAGAGCGCCGAAGAGTGTCAAGGATCGTCCCATTGGAACATTTCCCGCTCCTCTAGTCCTACCTCACGACGAGCTCAACTATGATCCAGATTCTTCACCGCAAAGTACGAAGGAATGGCTGAACGAGGAGTGTAGGAACAAACTTTCATCGGCGCCAAGAAGGAATAAGTTGTATGTGGTGCAAGTGCCTGGGATCAGTTTTAAGGCGGACTTTATGAGGCACTGGGTAGTACCAAGCGGTTACGATGAAGTCAAAAGCGAGGGTAAAGTCGGACCATCTCCTCCATCTGCGGATCACTTCGTCGACTATCTCACCGCATTCTATCACGATATGCCTGTTCGCCTCTTCCCCACGCCATTGACCTGGACATCATGGGGCTCCAATACCAAGTCCGCCAAGGGCTGTCAAAGTGCCGCTCTACCGAAGTACATCGGTCTATCACATGGAGATCGTTGTACCAGAATTCGCGTCCGCCCTGCGCCAGACACCGCTTTCCCTGCTCAACTGAATCTAGACGACATCCTCGATACAGCCATTTGAATCCTTCCCGATGACGCTTATGCAATGGTCCTCCTAATCGACCACGACATTTACGAGTCCGACGATGACGACTTCTGCTGTGGTAGAGCGTATGGAGGCAGTAGAGTGGCTGTCGTGCAGACTGCGCGATATAACCCAATACTAGATAAACGAAAAGGAGAGGAGATCGACCGAAACCACGTGTGGCCGTGGAGTCATTGCAAAACCTTTGTCGATGAATCATGTGCTGTAGAGGATGTAAAGGCAAAACCTGCGACAAAGAAACAGAAAGAACTAAGCAAGAGTGGGGCGATGAAAGCGGCTATCGAGGCCGCGACAACATATCAGCCTACATCATCGGTGCAAGAAGGACAGGCGCCTTGGTTCTCACGTCTCGCGCGTACAGTGTCACATGAGCTAGGACATTGTTTCGCGCTCGACCATTGTGTATACTATGCATGTAATATGCAGGGTACAGGTAGCATGAAGGAAGATGTAAGACAACCGCCATATCTGTGTCCAGTATGCGAAGCAAAGGTTGCACATGCCATTGCTGGAGAGCTGCACGGTGGCCGCGAAGACGAGAAGAGAGATTGGATCAAGCAGAGGTGCGAGGCTTTGAGGCACTTCTGCAAGAGGTTGGGAGATAAAGACATGGATAGTTCGATGTGGCAGGGCTTGAACGGGTGGCTGCAAGAAAGGACGGTAGCGATGTAATCTCGATGGCATCCCACGAATCTTTGCATCTGCGAGATACCCTCGATTCTTCATACTACCGATATTTGGAGGGGAAGTTTTAGTCATAGTGCGTGTCATTTGCTGATGCTTCGATGACACGTAAAGCATCAGCCCACGGAATTGCAGCAGTGGACAATTATCTCTTCTTACTTGTTTGGCTTTGGCGCGACGCAGCTATCTTAATGAAGTAATCCGTTCGCTGAAAAAAGACAAGATCATCGTGTGAGTTCCCAAGGACGTGGTTCAGCAAACCTAGATCGCCCACCCAAATCAGAGCCACGGCTTACGGACAATCCGTAATTGAATCTAAACGAATGATGATTGCTGAAAGACATCCCGTCTGCATGGTGAGACGCGTCTTGTGGTTCAGTGATGTGTTTTGACCCACGAGGGAAGTGTACCCCTCATTGCCCCACCATGTCCCAACACATGCACCTACAGTGAGCAATTTATCCATACATGACCTCAGTCGACAGTATGAGACGTAAAGTATAAGTATCCGGTTCTAGCCGTGGCCTCAAGCTGCGTCCTCAACTGCTCCTCAACGTTTTCCAATCGCACCTATCCAGCTTTCACCAACCCAATACAACCCACTTTGGTACGATGCTATCATCGAACCAGCAAAGCGAAGCCTATTCGGCCTCGCTCTTCGCACACCAGAATTGCATCTCGGTCAAGTTACAGGTGCCCAGCATGGCATCATCAGGTACCCATCTCAACCATCAGAAGCAAAGCATGGCGGGTGTTCAAGTCATCAGCGGATCAGGTCCCGGGGAGGGACCTGATCGTTGATGGCTTGTTCTGAGATCATACCGTTCAAACTTGATCTGGATAATTCCAGCGCGAAGGACAATTGCTGCTTCATGATGACCCCTTCCCCACTATGTTGGCGTACTGACTAGCTCAGCTTCTGCACCCAAGTCAAGATGTCGACTGATAAGATCACCTTCTTGACCAACTGGTGCGCTTTGCATCTAGGTTGAATGAGGTGTACGCTGACGGTGAACAGGCACGCTACGCCATACCACGCTCCCCTCTACCTTGCTCAGAGCAAGGGATACTTCAAGGATGAAGGCATTAAAGTCGCTCTCCTTGAGCCCAATGATCCCAGTGTATGGCCAACGCCATTGATCGTTTTTCAAGAGCTAATCATACCAGGATGTCACCGAGATCATCGGGTCTGGCAAGGTTGATCTCGGCTTCAAGGCGATGATTCATACGCTCGCCGCAGCCGCTCGTGGCTTTCCCGTGCAATCAGTTGGCTCTCTCCTCAATGAGCCCTTCACTGGTGTCGTGTACTTGACATCGTCCGGCATCACTCCCGAATTCACCACCCTGAAGGGAAAGAAGATCGGCTACGTCGGCGAGTTCGGAAAGATCCAGCTCGACGAGCTCACGGCACACTACGGCATGTCACCTGACGACTACCAGGCCGTCCGTGTTGGTATGAACGTGACCCGTTCCATCATCACGGGCGAAATCGACGCCGGCATCGGTCTCGAAAACGTCCAGATGGTCGAGCTTGAAGAGTGGCTCGTCAGCCAGAACCGCTCGCGTGACGAAGTGAAGATGCTACGCATTGATGAGCTAGCTCAACTCGGCTGTTGCTGCTTCTGCAGCATCCTCTACATCGGCAACAACGCTTTCATCGAGCAGAACCCTGAAAAAGTCCGCGCCTTTCTTCGCGCATGCAAGCGCGCGACTGACTTCGTCCTCGCGTCTCCTGATCAAGCCTGGGAGGAGTTCTGCAACTTCAAGTCGGCTATGAACACGCCTACCAACCGCAAGATCTTCGAGCGTAGTTTTGCGTACTTCAGTCCCGATCTTCAGAACGTGCAGCGTGACTGGGAGAAGGTCACCCGCTACGGCAAGAGGCTCGGTGTGTTGGATGACAGTTTCAAGCCTAACTACACAAATGAGTACTTGGCTTGGGGACTCGAGGAGGAAGCTGACGATCCTACTGGCGATCAGAAGCGGATGGTCGAGCTGCAGGAGGGTGTGAAGCAGCATGGAGGATTCAAACGTCTTGAAACCATGTCTGGCAAGACCGTTGTTGGCGCTGCTGCCCCGGCCGTATGATTCGTCCCCGAGTACTCGAATTTGGAGATCCAATCATTAGCTCCATCTTAACGCGTCGGAGATCTTTGGGCTGCTGTTCCATTGCCAGCATAACTTCGACACGAACAATGAAAATGTCACTCGCTCAAGATCTCTTTACTGCCCATTGTACGTAGCTTCTGTGATGCTAGTGACGAAGAGCCTACGTCATTTACCAGGGCTCAGGCCCATCACAGTCAGAGGAGCTCTGACGTAATCGGCAGCCAGACGACCATCTGCGGCCACCAAGTACATGAGTGAATGGCCATGCACGGTTTCAAGGCTTTCACAGTCACGCCATGTGATCCGCATCTGTCGCGTGTAAAGTAGGCAGAAAAGTGCGAGGAGGATGGCGATGCGTAAAGCGGCATATCTTTGTCAGAAGCAGTACAGGAACGGACCAGGGCGCTGTTGCCCACGAGTGCAGTCACAATCACGTGCCTTCCTCGATTGCGCGGTAAGCTTCCCAAGGTTGTCTCACGTTCAGTCGCCACCCAGTGGTTTTACGCTCACAACATATCACAGCTACCAAATTCCCGAAAGCGTCTCGCATCTCTTCCTAGGCGCAAGCATCGCCAAAGCAGGTACTACTATTACGGATTTAAACAAGCTCGCGTCTGTTACAACCTACACCCTACTAGTAACTGTAGGTAACAGGGGATTTTTCTAGTTATCTAGACTTTTACTCTGGAAGAAGGCTTCTATTACCTGTCCACGTGGAAAATCAGTGCAACATACGTCGTTTCTCTCACCTGGAACCCTTGCATCGTGAACATAAAGCCTCGTGCTATTTTCAGCTCCATCCTCCCTACACTATCGCAACAATATCTTTCGTCGATTCTTACTTATCTCCATCATTACTATTTACCAAAAAAATTCCAACACAATAAGAAACAGCCAACCAGAGAAGCCAACCAGAAAAGCCAGCAAGAAAAGCCAACAAGAAGAGCCTACAAGAAAAGCCAACAAGAAGAGCCAACAAGATACCGAACATCGAAAAGAAGATGACCGCTTGCTACATAGATTCGAGGGACTACCACGTAAGATGCACCCAACACGTCACACTTAGGATCAACACTGATGTGAACAGCCGGGTGAGGATCCAAAGAACTTCACCTTTTGTGATGCTTCTAAGCGCATGCTTGTCGCCAAGGACCCTGTCACAGGCAAAGAGGTCTGGATGGGTGTACACATCAACAAGACTCCCGGCAAAGACGACTTCGAATTGGAGCCCTCCTTCTACAGCTCTCCGAGCAGCGGCGAGCAGTCTCACATAGTCGAGCCCAAGGCTATCAAGATCACCGAGGATAAGACCACAGAGGGAGAACAGCCCAACGGCTCGGAGGTCAAGACCACCGACCCAGAGGCTCTCTTCTTCGACGTTGAGAAGGAAGCCTCCCTGGACGACTTGAAGGCCATCGCAGCCATGATAGCCAGGGTACTCAAGTTCACAGTAATACCTCCGCCAAGTGTTATCTCCGACATGAGGGAGTGGACTGCAGTCACCGGCTTTTCCATCTGGGCTGCGCCTCTCTGGGAGATGTGGCTGATTGATCACAACCAAAAGATCCCTGAGCCGGCTGTTCGGGATCCCAGCACAGCAGAAAAAGAGGCCAAGCCAACCAAGAACTAGGTCAGATTAGAGCCCACTGCTGATCATCCGAGGGGCGGCCGACCAAGGTGCATGGGTCCCGCTGCCGACGTGCGCGCTCAAATCCAGGAATTGTGAGCAAAGTTGAAGGAGAGGAAGAAGAAACTCTCAGCTGGCGCGTGAGGCCAACAGACTACGATGATCGTCAGGCTCCAACGAGCTCTTGACGACGAGAAAATATCTTTCATTCATACCTAGGTTGAGTCCAACAGGACGTCAGCGGAACTTGCATAGTAAGGGAGGCAGGAAAAGCGTGTCATCTTTTTCTACTTATCATCAGCTCTTTACCAGACTCAGCATGAAGCTTTTTGGAGAATATGGTCAAATTGATGTCAGCTTGACGCGACCATGACACAACTTCCTCTCCATTGTGATTTGCTATTGATTCCAAGAAACTCCACTTGACTTCTCGAACGCAACAGATATGCCTAACTACTATGCTTTTGAATTTGTGATCGTGATCACAGCCCATGCGACCGCGTCTCGCGCGTATCGATCCTTACGCTACGCATTCGTGCACCTTGTCCATTGTTGTCAAACATCTTGCCCGTAGTATATTGGCTACGCTGGGTTGGGTGGCGGACGGGCACCCACCCTCTGGATTGGAGCTGTCGTATTATGGATGAGCCACCAGTCAGGCTTTGTGCCTAGATGTTAGCAAGATTAGAAGGTCCAGTCTAAGGGCATAGCGATTTTGTAGGAATGACATTGTCACAGTGAAACCGACCAGACTGGGATATAGTTTACACTCATTATATTATACTACATACACAGTGCTCAGCACCAGACCAAGAGGAAAGAGGACATCGAAAGCCAACCATACCGGCTCCGATCCATGGGAAACCAATCCTCAAACGCCAAAGTATGCAGTTGAACCGTAAGCGGCCGTTGGAAACCCACGCCTTGATAAACACCAGTCAGGCCCGTGTAGGGCCTTGACATGCGACCGTACTCCAATCCTCTGCCATTACTCTTCCATTTTGTCGTTGTCCTTGTTTGCCTCTTTCGCAGGCTCTTTCAAGAACTGTGCGCGGAAGTCTGCGTTGCTCTTCGGCTCGACGTTTGTTGTTGTAGCACCTTTCGGTATAGCTGGACGACCAAGACCGGGCTTTCCTCGTCCTCGTCCACCGCGAGCAGCAGTAGGTCGGTTGACACGGTTTGGCTGGATGAAGCTGTTGCTCGCCTTCCACTCTCCCTTTTGCTTGTTAAGGTCCTGGACTGTACCGATGCGCAGTTTCCTCCCCTCGAAGTCTTTGCCCTCAAGCGCGAACTGAGCCTTGCCAGCACCTTCCACGGTTGTGAACTCAATGATCGCACCACCATGATGGGGTTCGAGCTTGATCCTCTTGAAGCCGTACTGTTCGACAAGCGGTTTGATGCGCACGTCAGGCACAGTGTCAGGCAGGTTGAGGATTGCAATGGATCGGTCCACGAAGGATGCGGGCTTGATAGCGGCTTCATGAGCAACGTCGCTATGTCCAGGAGTACCTTCGCGAGCGGCTGCGTTTTCCGTATTCTCGAGAGTTGATTGCACCTTTGGCTTCGTGTCAGGACGCTCTTTTGCGATCTCGACATGGATCTTCATGCCCGCAAACTCCTTTTCATGCATTTCTGCCACTGCTGCATCAGCGCTATCCTTGTTATCGTAAACGACATAACAGAAACCGCGATTGTTGCCAGTCGACCTGATAGTTGGGCACTTGGTCCTCTCAATCTTGCCGAACTTGGAGAAGGCGTCCTTAACTTCTCGTTCTTTGACCTTGAAGTTGAGATGCCAGATGTAGACTTCGCGACCCTCGGAGGTAGCGCCATCGCGTTTCTTTTTGGCGTTGGGGTCGGAGATCTTTGAGATTAGCTTCAACCCTTCAACGTCAGTATCGTCCAGCTGTGTCGCAGCGACCGCCTGTTCAGCTGAAGCAAATTGAACGTAGCAGAACCGGCGATGCGCATCGTACTTGAGTGAAGGGAAGCGAATGCCGATAATTTCTCCGAATGGACTGAAGAGGTTCCGGATCCAGGCTTCGTCGGCATGCGCAGGGTAGTTTGTGACGTATAGTGTCGTGCTTTGGCCTCGCTCAATCGATATGTTGTGACCTTCGAATCCTTTCGCCTCTTTGCTCAGAGCATACTGGGCTTCTTCGGGTGACTCAAACTCCACCACAGCCGTGAGACTATCCTTCTCCTCTTTCAGTACTAGATTGCGGACTGTGCCTGCGTCGGTAAAGAACTGGCGTATTCGAGTCTGTGTAGTGTTGAGTGGTAGCTTCTTCACGATGACTGTAGTGTGCTCGCGATCTCGTTTCGGTCCTGTAGAGCGAGCTTCCGATGGTGCTTCGCTCGCGACTCTGGCTTGACCATTGACCCCGTCAAGAGCCTCTGAGATCTCTACATGTTTGCTCTTCTTCAATACCGCGTCCTCGTCACCGTCCTCCCGTTTCCGCTTCGTTGAGCTGTCTCCGACTTGGCTATCTGGCGTGTCTTGTGGCGGAGCTGCAGCGGCCGCAAGTGCTCGTTCTTTCTCCCTCCGGACGGACACGATGCGCTCAGCTCGTCGTCGCTCGATCGTTGCGCTACGCACCTTTAACGCTGATTCGTGCTGCTCGCAATGGCTAATGTACATGTCGATGAGCAGCTCGGGTTGATCAATCGTTTGTAAGCGCTTCATGCCACGTTCCAGAATGGCAGTGGCCTGGGTGGGCGGCAATAACGGTTGACCTGCATTTTGCTTGCCCCTCGTTGCGTGTGGCGCCCACAGGAGCATCTCGAATATGTAGCAGCGATACCAGAAGTCGTAAGAGTCCTCTTGGTACTTGGTGATAGAGTCCTGAATCTGCCGGGCTTGATCAATGTCACCGCGTTGGAGCCAGAACTTGATGTGGGCACGCTCAAGACGGTACTTTCGGTCCGTCCATTCTCTGCCATGCTTCTTCATGCCGACCTCTCGGACGAACTCCAAAGCCGATCGAATTCCGACCTCGGCAACATCAACATCATCCTCCGTTGCTCTGGGGTCATCGAAAGCCCTTCGCCGAAGATATCCACACCAGGCGAGCTGGACCTTGATGAGTTCATCCAAATCAGTGTGCTCCAGAAGTCCAGATCCAGTGGCTGTGTGCTTGACAAGTTCAAGGTCCTCGAATGGCTTGTTTTCCGCTTCGAGTGTCAATAACCGGTGGGACCAGAGTGACCCGGACCATGGGCAATGGCGTGTCGCGCGCTCGAGAACGTTGAGTAAATCTACCGACCGGTTATCCTGCCAAACGAGAAACTCAACGTGGTCTTCCCATATGGAAGGATCGACGGGAAATCGGAGCGTGGCTCGCTCATAAAGTGCATTGACGAGATGGAAGCTGTAGACACCCATAGTCCTCTTCTCCCATTTCAAGTAGCGTGTCATGGCGGTGTACTCTGCAGCTTGGTCGCCTGCTTGGATAGCCTGCAGGAGTTTGAACTCGTACTCTTCGCGGTTGGCGTATTGCTGCTTGATGTGTGTATTCTTTTGCACCACTTCATCCATAACCTGCTCGTAGTGGCTTTGATTGTAGCGAGAATTGAAAGACGAGTATCTGCTAAGGGTGTTCGCCCATGTTGCATGTGGTTGGCCGAGGCGGTCGTTGTAGATGGCGGCTACCCTCTTCGCCTTCTCTTGGCTGAAGCCTCCTCGCTCGAGGTCTTCTTCCAAAACCTGCAGGTAGCGGTCCCAGACGAGATTGCTCTCTTGGAGGTTGTACTTGACTCTCTCAGCACCTTCTTGCAGCGCGTCCAGTAGCAGTTGGGGTTGGAAGAGCTCTCGACCAATAAGCCTCTCCTCTTCAGACCACTCCTCTGGGGGTACTTGCTCCCAAGAGCAGGCGACCAGGTAGCTCACATACTCGCCGTATGCAGCCCAAAGCTTTGCGCTGTAAGGTTCCTCTTGTGTTGCCTGCTTGTGCAGTTCGAGCACACCCATGCGCTGTTCCACATCCTTGGCCAGAGTCTTCTCGTCGTTCAGCCGGTAATGCCACAAGAGCTCGCCAAGCGGGTACTTGTCTGACATGGTTTTGTATGCATCGCGCAGAGTCTGGACCAACTCGTACGCGTTTGGGTCGGAATCGAACGATGCGAGGTGATTTTGGAGCCCTTGGTGTAGAGTGGTGACGAGCGAAACATGGCTGTAGTAGTCGAATGGGTTTTCCAGCAGCGTCTTGTCGAGTTGGTTGAGCCAGTCGATGTGCTGTTGGTCGAGAGAGCGAGTAATGAAATTGCGCGGTCGCGGTGAGGCCTCGGACATGATGCTAGCTACAGACTCACCGGAGAGGTTTTGTCCGAGGTGTTGCAGTCTGGCAAGTGGTCAGTGTTTGGTGGTGGAGTTTGCGCGACAAAATTAGGCTGCCGGAACGGGCAACAGCAACCCGTGATCACGGGCAAGCGCGACACCCGGACGTCACTGCCTGCCCCACAAAACACAAAGCGCGCTACACGTGGAAATGCAGGTGCAGTCGTGGTCTCAGCAATAGGGCAGACGAGGAAATTCAGCAAAGATGAAGAACTTACGTGACAGGCCGTTGGTGAACTACAGAGTTCTGGCGCGCAGCTTGTTGTTGCTGCATGCTGGCAAGGTCTGAGAGATGTTAGCAGATCCCCTGCTAGCTAGCGACCCATCGTCGTTTGCTGTAGCTCTTTCCTCCCTGCATCTAAGCTGCGGCTCCCTCACATTGGGGCCGTCTACAGCACTGTGCCACTACCCAAAGAAAGCGGGCACGTACCTGCAAGTGTGTCCATGCCCGGTGTGGATGTTTGGCGGTACATGGGGTTTGGGGTCGCCATGCGCGCGTCATGTGGCGATGCTATTTGTTGTGGCGTTCCCATCGCGCTGTGTACTCCTCTTGCGCCGTTCGCGATGTGGGCGTATCCCGGGGACGGCACACGCTGTTGGAGCGTCTGGGGCGGCTGCGGGGAGGACCTGATCTGTTGGCTTAGGCCCGAGGGTGTTCGCGATGGCATCTGGCGTCTTGTGCGCTTGCCCGGGGATCGGAGTAGTGACGGCGACGGGATGGTAGGGGCGGCTTGTGGTGTTGGGGTGCCCGCAGGCGAGTCCGACGGCGATAATAACGAGTTGATATCCATGGTGTACAGCGTTCACGACCTTTTGCCCTCGTTTGGCACGCACTGCAATCCAGCAGCTGTCTTGAATGCTACACGCGCGCCAGGCGTCTGTCGATGCTCTCTCTTCCTATGGTCGCGAGCTGCAGAAACTACTAGGCATCGGGTCCCTCGTAACGAGCGGCATGGGACGACAGCGGGCGTTTGGCGCGAAAAGGACCGTCGGAGGCGCGAGGCGATGGGGATAGCGAGTGTGATGGGAGATGACCTCGTCGGCGTCGTGGGTGAGAAGGCCTACACCCGGTCTAGAAGAAAAGGTGGTTAGGTGCACCAGGCAAGCTTGGGCCTGCGACTAATCGAGTAATGATGGAGCGAGCACGTCGCGACCCGGAGCAGCTGGATGCGGACTCCCGGAGTGAGCTGGCGGCGGTACAGCACGATGTTTGGCGCGTCACGAAATGCGCGTCAGGCAACGGGGTCAAGAGTCTAGGGTCGACGGTGGTCTGGACAGGAGCGGGACGACACGACTCCTGCACATTTCTTCTGCGTTCTGATCGCTCTGGTTCAATGATGATCCCGCTGCCAAGCCAAACCCCTGCAAGCGCCCTGCGCCAGCGCGGAGCCTTTCGCCGTGCCACAGAATTTCCCGCGACACTTCACAGCATTGGCATCATCAACGCCGCAGCGCCGTGGTGTCGAGCATCGCTATGAGCGCCCGGATACCCTCACGGCGGCTGGGGCAGTCAGGTAAGCTATTACTGGGAACATTGATCCCCTGCACCATTTTCTCCGCACCTATCGGAGCGCTAGTCGACCTTCCGGGCGGTACAACACCATGACGACTAACATTGAATAGCCCTCGCCGCACGCCCACACACCCAATGGATACCCTTAACCTCGATCCTTTCAATCTCACAGCGCAATATCTCGTTCGGGCGCAAGAAAGACAACGATGACCTCTTCAATACCTTCTCTTCAGGCGCTCATCGCACTGACGAGTTCAGAGGGGTCAAGAATAACAACGATGACCTCACCAACCCGATCCTCGAAGACTACCTATCGAAGAGGGCAAAACGAACAGGTGCGAAAGGAAAAGACGCATCAGCAGGGCCCGTACGCCCCACCCCTCGTGAAGGAGACTTCGCCGTAACCCCAACTTCCCTCTTCCCACCCGAAAGCGATATCCCCGGCTGGCGGCCAGACCTGAGCCCACAGGAGAAACTCGAAGTCAAGGAGAAATACCGCAAGCGAGAGCAACAAGAGGCGCTTAAGGAGGACAAGAAGCTTATGGATATGTCACTCGATCCCGACCAGAAAGCCCGCAGGCGTCTCGAGCGCAAACTCGTCATTTCCGGCGTGAAGCGCCACGGCCGCATGACAAAGGCGCAGAAGTTACTCCGTACCGAACGCCAGTCACTCTACAGGTCACAACTCCTTCCTACGTCTACCAAGAAGCTGCAGAAGGTCGTAAACCAGATCGCCGGAAAGACTGTCTCGGAAGCCCTCGTCCAACTCCGCTTTTCCCCGAAACGTGTGGCCCGCGACGTCATCAAGGGCCTCGAAATCGCGCAGAACGAAGCCATTGCGGCCCGCGGTATGGGTCTCGCTGGCGAAGACGCTGCGGTGTCGCGTTGGAAAAAGCAAAGAGCAGCTACGGATGCGGGGAGACCGAAGGATACTTGGGACTACAAGACGTCGAAAACGAACGGCAGTCTGGAGGCGAAGCCGGTTAAGGTGCCTTTCTTCAAGGACACGACGATCCAGTTGAAAGATGGGAGTAAGAAGGTGGTCCGCGACCCCAGCGAGATCTACATTGACCAGGCGTGGGTGGGACCCGGGCAGAGCTGGAAGACCCCTGAGTTCAGGGCGCGGGGTGCTATCAACATGCTGAAGCACCGAACGACGAGTGAGTTTGTCGCACACTTTAATTTGGACAATTGGGCGCTAACATTACTTGACAGGTTTCTCCGTTCTTCTCAAGGAAGAGAAGACGCGCTTGCGCATCTCAGACGAGATTCAGAAGAAGCGCGACAACCGCAAGCTGTGGACCGCACTTCCCGACCGACCCGTCACATCACAACGGCAATACTGCCTGTGGTAAACGATTGTACGAATTCAGTGCATAGCATATATTGCCGGTGGAAGAAAACTGGCTTGTACAATATACCATTCAAGATCAACCGTTCCCCATCATCCAAAGCAATACCAATCGCTTTATCCGGGTATCTCTCTATCACCCATCCAAGGTGCATAACGTATACGGCTGCTGCTGCCTTTACAACTTTTTGAACATGTGACAAGATCCTGAACGCCTTCGCTATGCAAACAAAAGATCCCTTTTCCATTCTCAGGCTTCCACGCCGTCTACTGCGCCGATGCTGCTGACGAGCATATCTAGCATGCCACGTACCTTCCATGCGTCTTGGCTTGCTTCGACGGTCACCTTGACTCGCTGCATCAGCGCCATGATTAGATCGTCAACCTCCTCGCTTCTGCCCAGTTGATCGGCGTATAGATCCAGGACCACGAGCGCGACGTCGGTGGTCAGACGTGTGATGCGGTAGTCAGAAACATTCTTTATGCACCAGCGGAGGATGGGTTGGAGTGTTACGGAGTCGCGGTTGCTGAGAGCAGTTCGGAGAGCAGAGCGGTGGCGTAGAGCGGTCAGGAGGGTAAGGGACTGGCTGCGAGCATTTGCGTCCTTGGGAGATATTAGCCTTAGTCTTAGGGATGTACAGGAGAATGGAAAACATACCTTTGATTCGAGCACCATGTCCAGCGCCTGCGCGTACATGCCCTTTCGCAGCGCATGCGCCCACGGCTGTCCGGCCGTGATCTTTCCCCGCGCGTTGCCCTCGATCACAATGTCTGCGCTCTCGCCGGTGAAGTCTTTGCCTCGGATACGCTTTTCCCAGCCCTTTCCGCGCTTCCGCTTCTTGCTCCTGTCGTACTCTTCGATCTTGCCTTCCATGAGCGCTTTCATCTCCTTCTCTCGCTCACGAGCCTGAACCTTCTGCTCGCCGGAAAGATGGGTCTTGATCGAGAGAAGACCAGATTGCATACCTACGGCAATGTGTCTGTCCTCCTTTTGGTTCGGGATGACGCTGAGTGACAGGATGGGCGAAGGGTACTTCATCCCACCTACGACGTTCCAGCCTGTTGTTTCGAAGACCTTGACGTGGCCGTCGAGAGCACCGGAGAGGAGGCGTTCGCCATTGTTCGCTAATGAGAGCGCGGTCACAGTTTTCTGGTGGTTGCGCAGCATGTGGATCGGCTTTGCGGCCACAATGTCGAGAACGCTGATGACATTGTCGGCTGCTGCGAGGACAGCCGTTCCAGACGGCATAGGGAGGACAGTCTCGACGGGCGCAGCGTGTTTGAACACCATGACCGCCTTTCCGCCCACTCGCGAATCCCAGAGTCGTACCGTCTGATCGTAACTACCAGATACAAGCAGCCCACTTTGCGCAGGCATGAAGGTACCGCTGCGCACGTAGTCTTGATGCCCGTCAAACTTCATGACACTTTTCTCACTCGGCAGGTCCCATAATCGCACGGTTCTGTCGTCGGAACAACTCATTAGGCCAGTAAGATCTGTGGGATTCCACTGTGTGACCCAGACGGGCTGCTTGTGTTCCTTCCATGTCTTCAAGATGGCCCTGCTCTTGACATCGAACGCTTGTATGACACCAGTATCTCCTCCTGCGACCAGAATTCTGCCATCGCGCCGTATGTTTCCCGAATGCGCAACGTCGTCGACGCCGAAGCGCGATATCGTCTTGACGACCTTTCGGCTCTTGGAGGAGAAAATCTGGACGCGCGATCCCGTGGTGACTGCGAAGAGATCCTGGGTGGCCGAAAGCGTATTGGCGGGCTGAGGGGGCGGTATCGAGATGTGAGTTACGGGCGAGGAATGTTGCGAAGGGTCGAGTTTGAGCTCCGAGGCGAATGAGTTCCAGTACTTTTGCTCAGACGTAAGGGTGGAAGGGCCCTTTGGCAGCTTCAAGGGCTGCAGGAGTTGTACTTCGGCCGCCATTGTGAAAGTTGGATGCGATCAATGCGCGTGGAGTTGCGAATGTCGTGAGCTTTTCGGGTGGAGGAACTTTTCGGTGGGTCAGGAAGTCACGCTAACGACATCGGATGGTGGCGCCTTCCCGGCCTGAACGCGGACAGATGCCGACCGTGATTAATATCAGCATCAAAGTCGCGACTGAGCAGATCCTGATAGTTTGTTTCATGAGGTCTACTTGTCAAGACCGTCTTAATGGATTGCTATCATGATAGGAAAACGCCGGTCTCTTCGTCACACAGCATGAGCTGACTAGCGTTGGCTGCCTGGAGGATCGCCCGGGCGCACCCAGTTCATCAATAGACGACGGACGGCGCAGCACCTTCCACCTCATCAGCGTCAAGCCGGATTCCACGTTCTGTCATGCGACCCCCAAACATCAGATGTCTCTCTTTTCGATTCGGACCTATTGACCTGCCAATGATAGATTGCCTGGCTCCAGGATAAACCGCTCTCAGCGCGTCCACCAGGGCCGCACTAGACGCGTCACGATGGATCCCGACGCGCTCGACAGGATGAACGATTTCTTCGATTTCGCCGCTCTTGAACAGAACGACGAAGTCGAACACACCCACGCCTCAAGTGGGCAAACGGTGTCATACTTTCAACCAGACAATGTCACGGCTATTGACTTCGCTTTGGAACCAGCGGCCCAAGATACCCTCCAATTGTACGACGTGCCCATGTACGACGTGGCACACGATCTCTCCTCTGCCGATATAAACCAGCAATGGCCAACATCTCACCCAACAACATATGCTGCGACGTCTATGATTGAAACGAGTGTAGACTCAGGAGCAGACGTCGATTGGCAAACGGTTGATATGGAACATGCGAAGGACCACAGGATCCGCGATGCGACGGATCTCGCTCTCCCGCCTTCATTGTCATCACTTGCGCTAATGCAATACGATGAGGAAGGCAGTTTAATTGATGCCCCGCACTCTCAGCTCGGGCTACGTCCTTCAGTTCTCGATCATCCAATGATTCCGGCCGATGCCTCCCTTGGACTGGAGCAGCTACCAGTCAGATCGGCCGCATCCCAGCAACAACCTTCAGTTGCAACTTGGAAACCAGCATCAGCCAAACGTAAAGGACCTCAGTGCCGTATTCCACTTGAGGCAAGACAGGTGTTGGAGGACGAATTTGCGGTCAATCCATACCCCTGCGCGTGGGAATTGGACATCATCGCACATCAAGCCAATCTCGACGTGAAGAAAGTCCGCAACTGGTTCAATAACACCCGAGCCAGGAAGAAATGTGGAGGTGAGTCGTATCCCCTTCCATGAGATCATGCTTTGACTTACCTATTCAGATTCCCACCCCACTGCAAAGGGTGGTTCAGGCCAGAGCAATCGCACTCTGAAGACACAGCTGTCGAAGGATAGTCTGGAAAGCCTCCAAAAGCAAGCAGATGACGCCAATCAACTGCCGCAGCCGCCTCTGGCGGTATACCTTGCACAGTCGTACCAAGAGGAAGCTGTTGAACTGTCTGCAGTGCAGGCTGCCGTTGATGTTGAGTCTCTCAACGAAAGCATCCCAAATAGCGGATGGTCTGAGTCCAGACAAGGTCGAAGAGGTTCCGTCATCACCTCGATTGCTTCTTCTGAAGGCACTGCACCCACAACATACACGGTGTCTTCCAGCGGTAGCCGCAGTAAAACCTCGTCCTTTGGTCGTGATCGCCGTCGAGGTAGACGTCGGATGGCATGGAAAGAATCTCCTCGCCAAGCCATTAACGGTGTGAACAGTGCAGGTGAACCCCAGAAAGATCTGCCTTTTTTCTGTACTTTCTGTCCGCGGGCATTCAAGACGAAGTATGAATGGATACGCCACGAAGACTCGGTCCATGCGCTTCGAACCACTTGGATTTGCTGTGACACAAAGTCATCTGAAAATCTTGAAGCATGTCCATTCTGCGGCCAGGCCCATCCCGACGATGCTCACCTGGCTAGCCACAAGTACCAACAATGCCGAAGCAAGCCCGAATCCCAACGAACTTTCTATCGCCGTGATCACTTCATCCAACATCTCCACCATGTTCACTTCGCCAACACCAAACATCCGTCGGTACGTACCGGCTGTCAAGCTCGATTACTAGCCGCTGAAGGCCACAACTTTGGTTGCAAGGACCTTGCCATGAAGTGGCGTCGCTTCGGAGCTCCAATGAAGCTTGACGATCCTATGCTTCATTGTGGCTTCTGCGGAAAGAAGTCAAAAGACTGGTCCGAACGATGTGAGCATGTTGCTGAGCACCTCGTCGCGCGTGAGCTTGACCGTGCTGTGTGGTGGAGCGAGCGCAAGGAAAACCATTTGGAGAACCTCTACTCGACTACACCATACGAATCTTTCCGATGCCGATACTGTCAAAAGGTCTTTACGGATGTCAAAGATATGAACGAACACTCTCACTGTCGTGTGTGGAGCTGTCGATTTCTCCGGAGCTTCGACGACGTTGCTGCAGACAATGCAGGTCCGCCCCTCTGTCCAGACTTTCCTTCGGCCAAAGCTCACCATTGTCACCTTTGCGGCTCCGGCTATCGAACGTTTCACGTCGAACATGCGCAGAACTACCATCGGTATCGCTCGTGTAATCAAGAGTTTTACACATCTGAAGACGCTTTCCTCCAGCATTTGCACAACTTTCATGGCGCTTCACAGCCAACATTGTTGCGAGGCTCTGGTGTCATCGAGCAGAGCTATATGCGCAACAAAGGCGCATCGTTCGAGCCCGTGGAGTTCAATGAGAGCTGGCAGCCTTGCGTTATGGATCTAGACGTAGCCTCTGTCAGTCCATTTGTTGCCGACAACACTGTTTCAACCCTACCTGTCGACCACAGAAAGAATCAAAGTCAGACCCGAAAGTCGCTCGTCATTCCAAAGAAAGCTCGTGACAATGTGCAGACTCAGGACGTCAATGTCAAGAAGGTATCAAGACAACGATCTGACACATCAACCTCGAAGGCCGAGAGTCATCACCCGCGATTCTTCCGACTCAGTACTTATGTACCCTTTTTGTCATCTCGTATCTTCTACTCGCGGTCTGCAAAGGCAGCGGACTTTCCTAGAGACAACCAGGCTGTGCTGGAAGAGCTACCGAAGCCGCACATTGCGACACTGGCGATGAGTGCAGGCACAGTCAGCATGGCCGCCGCTCGCTGGTTGATTCGGCCAGACACATGTTCGGTCAATGGTATGGTCGAGCTTACCATTGATAATGAAGCAGATGGAGATTGAGCGAACTTAGCCGCTGCCGAGTGGGGATCGGGATTACTGTAGATCGCACGAGACCTTTGGCACTGTCCCATTCCTCGGCAAAAGCGTCACTGCGTTGCCTGAGAAACTGTCCGACTGCTGACGTCGTGGTACTGCCCATCCGATTGGTCAAGCAGCGTTGTTTTGAAGTGGATTAGACCGTGGAGGGCGCACAGACTGAGCTCCTTGTCCACTTCGATACTGGTGGGCATCCAGCAGCTCTACTGACAACACACCCAAGCTACCTAGCTGCTAAGTACGCACCCAATCAACCTCCCACCCCGTCAGTCCCTCGAGCCTGAAGCCAAGATTCGAAATCGCTCAAGACAACATGGCCGAAGATTCGGTGGTCCATCTCCCACTCGCCATCGACGTTCCCAAGGACTCACCTGAGAACTTACTCCCCTCCACTACTTCTTCCGACACTGATGTCAAATTCGATCGCTTCAATGACCATCCGAAGGAGCTTAAGCTTGAGATCTTTCGACACCATCTCCGCTTTCCCTGGAGTGTCACCTGTCGTAGCCATGACTTTATCTACGGACCCCGCTTTCTGAATACCGCGCTTGCCAATAAAGAACTGTGTAGTATTGCTTTCCAGATCTATTACCACGAAAACACATTCAAGTTGGCCTGGTTAGTCGTGCGCGGGTCACGTCGTACCCCATTGTCTTTCCGTTATCCATCCAAGACCGTCGCACATCTTGTCACGAAGCTCGAGATACATATGGAAATCCAGGGTTTCGGGTACCCCTTAGAGCTATTCTACTGCGGCGGCTGCCAAGGCTCCCAACTAGCTGTCCTAGCTCATCCTCGTCGCGCGTCCTTCACAGCTGGGTATACCTGTTTTATTCTGGAGTCGCATTCGTGGGCAAATGACGGTGAGGCCAAGGCTGGCTGGGGAAGATACTTCACCTCGTTGAAAGAACTCCGCATTGTGATCCACTTGCCTTACTGTCTTCCGGAAGAATCGAACGTATTCTTCGAGCGACTGCCAGAGCAGGCGCGCCTACTGTTGCAAGCCAAAAACATCCAGGTCGAAGTCGAGCATGCTCATGAGCGCACTCGCTGTGATGGTCATTGCGAGCGCACGATCGAACGGGGTATTATCGGCATGACAGGACCGCCGATTCCGAGTCGCCATACAGCGTGAGAGTTGTCTCCAGGACTATCAGGCCTCGAACCACTATTCTGGAGCGTCTCTCCTCCGAGGCGCATTTCTACTGCTTGAACAAGGGAGATTTGTCGGCGTTGCGCCGAAATGACGTGGCATAGTGACAGAGGCGTGGAACATGTGAAGGTGCTATGAGGACAGGCTCCAAAGTTTATACGGGCTGGTGTCATGGCGCATCATTCCCATCAAGTCGTCAGAGAGTATGTCCTGGACATGGGCGGTCGCGTCTTGACTGTCATGTATACAATAATTTTCAGCCTCAATAAGGAACGTCTTTCCCAGGAGCTTTTTATCTTATAGTCGTTATTGCGCAGGTCATGAGCGCAATACCACATTTGCAAGAAAGGCGTATCGCCGAGGTATTTGTAAAAAGCCATTGTTAAAACACATGAGGCCTGGTAACGCCTACCTGGTCTCAACCCACTGAAGTCTCACTGCCATTTTAGAACCTTGGAAGCGTTTCACTGCACACTGTCAGTTCTGCACCTGCCTAGTGAGTCGCGGTGCACGGACTGTACCTCAGGTGGTACCTGCCTTGCATCCCGCTCTGAGGCCACTACTCTATACTATGGATCCCGCTCATACCATCAACGCCTTCCCACCACACGAGTCTCACCACTCAACCAAGAATGACGACTACTAATATGACAACCGAATCCGACTCATTCCTCCGAGGGTTCCGCAGCCTCCCTGGAGAGCTGAAGCTGCTCATCTTGCGCTACACCGTCCACACTCCAACAGCCGTGACTGCCTGCGCTTGGCTCGATAATTGCGACCTCCATTATCTCTGTTATCCCCAAGACTATTTCGAACGCGATGTGTTTCGGTACGGTACGCATGAGACAAGGCGGTTGCTTAAAAAGACAGTGATTCCCCTCCTCTCTGTTCCCGAAATCAAGCATCTTGTTCTAGAAGCTTTCTATGGGGTCAATCGAACGGTGATGCTGTCCAACACCACACCCTCTTCGAATATGGATATTTGCTACTGTCCCCCACCTGTTGTAAGGCCTCTCGTTCGCCGTCTCGAGATTAATCTCAATTACAACAAACCTCATCATATAAAATTATTGAGGGAAATCTCGGATGGGTCAACATTTCCTAACTTACACTACTTGACCGTCAACCTGGACCCGGAGTCTCTGTTCCTCGACAACCAGGAGGACAACAGACCGAGGTCGTATTTCGGGGCTTATTTCCAGCGACCCGGCCCAATCCACTTTCCCACGCGCCATCTGACCATCATATCAATCATACCCGGAGAAGGCGACGTCGATATCGATGCAGTGGAATCACTGTATTGTGAGCAGCTTGACCTGAAAAGCAACGGAATTCGAGAAGAACGATGGCAACGCTTCTATATATTTGACGACGAAGACATAGAAGAGAGAACTGAATACGTTACAGAGAGGTCTAAGTTCGTCACTGGTATTGTCCATGAGTACAATTATCAATACCAGCACCGTGTGACGATCAAGACTGTGTCGACTCGGCCGAAGGACTCGCCGTATGGGCACCATAGGTGGGCAGATTATCCAGTTCGGAACTAGCAGCGTGGTGGTGGACATATGATGCGCTCCTTCTTATAACTTGAAAGATGGAGCGGTAGGCTATTGGACATGGGGATTTTTCGTCTCACCCAAAAAGCTCAGATGAGATGCATGTTCGAGAAGCGAGCGAGCGAGCTTCAGGGTGTATAAAGTTAGCTACTCAGATGTAAGATCACGAAGGTATTCTCATTGATCCTCCAACGCATCAGCCCTTGAATCTGTGACGCCCTTTCTCGCTGCCGCAATTTAGCTGCAAGCAGTAACGATTGCTGATGCCTACGCGCTGATTCGTCGCCTACTCCACCCTTAACCACAGATTAGCAGTCGCATCCCATGCTCACCCCCATCGAGTGATTCGCATACATCCTGCTCTCATTGCAACTTCTACTTAAACTAATTACACCAACGAAACATCGCGCCGTTGGAGCCTCGCAAAACCTTAACATCTCAAGTCAATCCGAAAATGCCTTCCAACGCCCAACCGAGCAATGCAGCGTCCAGCATACCTACAGATGCGAAGACAAACTTCCTGCACCTGTCCGATGCCGAGTTCCTAGAAAAGCTTCAATCTTTCGCCAAGTTCAAGGAACGCTCGCATCAAACGCACCACCAAGTACACGTACCAGAGCTTACCGCGCGTCTTCAACTCGATACCCCGTTACCTACACCTAGCGAAGATGCTTCTCCCCCCGCACCAGATGCGCCCGTACCAAACCTCTCAAACACATCTCCCATCAGTGTCGTCTACCTCGGCAACTCCATGCTCGAGCGCTTCAAAACCAGCGGCATCACCACGGATATCGGCAAGCTCGGAGACACGGGAGTCGCATGGAACGCTGGTGTAGGCGGCGACAGCAGCCAAAACGTCGCATACCGACTCACAGAAAGTCTTTACTCCATACTCAAGAACGCGAAGAAAGACGTGAGCGACATCAAACTCTGGATCCTGGCTTCCGGGACAAACAGTCTGCAGAAGAAGCGCGCATTCCGGAAACAGGATGTGGAGAGCTGGAGAGTGTTGGTGGAGGCTTGTCTGAGGATTGCGCCGGAGAGTACGGTGTTGGCGTGCGATATGTCGTATAGACTGGATATACCTGATGCGATTGTGGATCAGAGTAATGAGATGCTAAGGGAGGTTATTGGAGAGATCAACGGGGCTCTTCGGGTTGAGAAGGAGCACAAGCTGCAGACATATGAGGCTCGGACTGAACGGGATCGCGAGGACAAGGTGAAGTGGGTTGATACGAGGCACATGTTCATCAAGAATATGCTTGACGACCATGTGCATCTGAATGAGGAGGGCTATTGGTTGTGGGATTTTGTGTTATGGCCGCATGTGGCGAAGGTCTTGGTCGTCCCGACAGAGAAAGATGATCAGCTTCTTGATTGGACGTGAGTCTCAGCCATGCCTGGGTTTGGTCAATGAGGATATATTCATTAGCATTCTGGATAGTAAAAAGCAGCTATTGGGAACTTGAGAGGAAACTATTACAGGTCCTAAACCTATAGCTTGTCTGTTCATCCTACATGTTCAACACCACCCGGCGCATGTCTTGCAATTCCAAATGATTGGTAGCATGACTCAAGGTTTCTTGCCCATGATCATGTCTTTGAGATGTTGAAAGACTTCGGTATGATCCTGCTCGCAAGGATGATAGTGCCACAAGAACCGGCCGCCATTGTAAGTATCACGGACAGTAAACTCCACTTTCGGTGCCCGGAGACGTATCCCAGACTTTTCTATACAAGCTCTCAACGTGTCTCCTATGCCATCTTCGAGAAAACATCCGGGCATGATATCGCGTTCAAGACGCCACTCGATCCCAAGGGTATGTAGGTTGACGAAGCGTTCTTGCCATTCAGGGTTTATATTGGCGCGAGGTGCATTATCTTTGGTACCGTTGATCCAATAGTCTCGGGGAGGTAGATCTATAAGGTACATCCAACTCGTCGAGTGCGAGGCACATATAAGTCCCTTCTCTATACCGACCTTGCAGTTCATCGCCACAATATGCAGATGACGTATCATGGCAGCCGCACGTGCCTTGGGACACCAGAGACCGCTGATGCGGTCCTCAGGGGGAAACGAATAGCCCTTGCCAAGTTTGACGTCCCCTGTTTGCATGCGGCACCCGATACACAGCTCGAAGACATTTTTGTTGTAATATACTTCTTGTGCGATGTTGGCTAGATGACGGTTGCGCGTGGCCAAGAGTGGGAACAGGTCCGACTGTAGACATTGGGCATGTTTTCTCTTGTCGATTCTTCCATCCAGGGTTAGATTGTGCGAGAGAACTTCGCACTTGAGCTCATCAGGAAGTCGCGCCCAGGCGTGGAACGATCGAGAAACTGGTATGACTGGCTCTTCGGTGTCGGTAGCTTGAGCCATCATCCTAGCATAAGTTCCCGACCTCGGTGGTAAATGGGGCTTGCGGGTGTGATGAAGGTTGATGAGGCAAGGTCTGTCAGCAGAGCCGGGAGACAGTTGCATGCTTTTGCGAGAGGCCCGAAAGCAATGATGGGAGAGAGAGGAATAGGTAGAAATCCGCGCCATCTTGCGAGGTCGTCCACGCTGCGGCACGGGCCAGCCAGTGCAGAATGCGCCTGTGACTCAAACTGGGGCATAGTCTTGGTTCGCGCGGGTCGTTGATGGAGATGCATCGACGTTGTCGTGAGATGATCACCACGAGTATGAACCGATTCGAGGTCGGGAATCTGAATCATCCTGAGCCTTTCACAGCGACTGGCGCCTACAAGTCAAAAGAGAACATAAACTTCATTCACCAAATGCAACCGGGGTATACTAAGACAAGAACTCCGCTTCCAAACTCCTTGGACATTTGAACAGGACTCGCAGATCATTCTCGCCACTCTTTCGCGCATTGGGTGCACTGGATCAGATCAACGGGGTTTTTGAGGGGGTCGGGTATGTGGCGTACCTTGTAGAAAGCAGTCATGGGCTCGTCGGCACTTCGAATCTGCAGCTGGTACCAGTATGCTTCGTGGTTGCGGCACTTCTCGTTCGGGCATTGTACTGTGTACTTGTCAGGTATGCCAACAGGTGTAGCAGGTGCGCCCAAGATGGCGCAATCTTGGGCTAAAGTATCGGAGCGCACCTTCCGTCTTGTCCACATTATCCCAGGCGCCCTTTCCACCCAAGATGTCTTCGACTTCCTTCTTCTTTAGGTATTTCCGCTCGTAATAGCGTTTGTTGATTACGAAGTGGTAGGGGCAGGTAAGGCATTCGAAACGGTTTTGACCGACAGCGTCTTCGGTGGTGGGATCGCCGGGAGGTACTTTGGACACGCGCAGCATATTGCTGCATGTTGGGCAAACTGTGGCTGTTAGCTGTGGCTGGACTGGAACATGGAGCTGTATATGTGGCCATGTAGTAGGCATAAGCGGAACATCCGGATATGTGAGTATGGGACTTACAGAGCAGCATGGTGGGCGACAGTAAGCAAAAAAGAAGTTGGACGCGTGAAGTTGAGCGCGAAGAAGATCAAAAGTTATGACGGACCCTGACCCGCTAGGGCTGGGAACGGCAAAGTGCGGGGCGAGTGTGTAGCAGCGAAAAGCCACCGGCGACGCGCACTTGGGAGCGGACTGTCTCAGATTGGGGCTTATGCACGCTGGCCTGTCGACGTCGCCTGCATCCTTATCGCCGTATTAGAGAGATACTTCACTTCTTCACACCGCCCTGCCCTGTTCGCTTTCCGTTAGCACCTCCGAGTACCCCGCCAAACCACAGCTCGAAACATTCACGCGTACCTGACTGGACCGCTGTCCCTGCCCAGTCACCCTCCGCATCCTCAACACCACACACCATGGCGGACGAAGAGGTGCATACACATGCATACCCAGCGCCTACCACTGCTGACCAACATGTAGGGTGCTTCCCCCCGCGAACTTGTCCTCGAAGCGTGCCGACGCAACAACACCGAGCTACTTGAGGAAACCTTAAAAGACCTTGCTGCTGCTGCCTCAAAATCAGGGAAGAAGCCCGAAGACCATGTCGCGGAAACATTGAACAACACACGCGACGGCGTGGGTAACGGCTGCCTTCACGTCGCGGCAACATACGGAAGCTGTAAGTATCTATCCCAGCGGCGTAGCACCAGGACGTCTTAGTCGCACGCCACACGGGGCGTGATTCGACTGACTCTGTCACAGTCGAAGTTATCGACATGCTTCTCGACCAAGACGGTCTTGAGATCGACGAGATCGACCGCATGGAGCAGGATACTCCCCTTCACAAAGCCGTACGCTACGTCAACTCGCTCGAAAAGTCCGTCTGGCCCCACGGACACTCCATCGTGGCCATGCTTCTAGACGCGGGATGCGATCCGAGAATAAGGAACAAGGCGAAGCTCAAGCCCATTGAGTTGGTGGACCCGAGGAACACTGAGCTGAAGAGCATGCTGCAAAAGGGTGAAGTCTCGATGCTAATGGGTGGTGACGTGGTGGAAGACGACGACGATGATGGCCCAACAGGAAGCGCTAGCGATAGCGATTGAGAAGTCACACATGGGAGAGCACGAGTTGGAGAAAGACTTTGGGCCCCGGCTATGGTGGCAATTGGGGTATATTGAGAGAGGCCGAGGTGTGTACACCTCACTACCGGCACTCAGCGTGCGCTACGCTACTGAACGACTTCATAGTATCGGCTTTGATAGCCCTAGACAAGCAGCATGTACCCATCTGTTCCTCTTCATCCACGAGCCGGCCTCGCGCGCATTCGTGCTGGGGATGGGAGGCGGCTTTCGCTTTGGATCTTCGTTCTCCGCATGTCTCCATAACCAAGTCTGTCGTTTCGGTCTAGAATGTCCCGATCAATCTTGTTGCTACTTCCTGTTAGCTCATTACTTCTAAAACTCAACATTTCCATTACTCACCTCAGGCGGAGGCCCGACAGGCCTGACCATGCGCTCTAGTAACTGCAGTCTAGTCTTTTCGCGCGGCTGTCCCAGTCCGATGCTCATGTACTGTAGAAGAGGCGGGTGGCCGACGTAGCTCGAGAGCGAGTCGCGCGCGATGTTGGATGTCCATTCGTGCTTGGTAGTGTCTGCGCTTCCGATACCGATGTAGCGGGCCTGGAGAGCCTCGAGTTGTTGCTGCGCGCGCAGTTTGTCAGCCATGATCGCGATATGTACGGAGTTCGGTCGGTTGTTTGGAGATGTGCGACTGGGTTGGTGTTGGGCTTGGTAGGCAAAAGTTGGGCAAGTCGCGACCGCGGAGGTGCTGCGGAACCTGGGCTTAGTCATGCGGCATCAGCCCCATCATCGCGACAGCCTCGAGACGGATCCCCTCAATTCAACAAACTTCGGATCGCAACACCTTGCTTCTCTCCATCACGCGTCGCATGGCTAATTATAACCGCGAAGACGACAACATGAGCAACCACGACACGATAATGGGCAACGCGCCCCTCACACCACGCGACGAGCCCGAACTCACATCCCCCATGGTCGACTTCTCGCCATTCACTGTACAATACGACGAGGCGTTTGAGAACAGTCTTATGGAAATCATACTTAACCCACCACCCCAGCCCTCGCCGCGAAAGCCTTCAGACGAGATTCCCACAATCTCCGCGTCGCAACTGCCCATCTCGCTCTCCTCCCACCTACGTACACATCCTTCCGCCGTGCCGGGGCTTTACATGACGCACCAAAACGGATATCATACAGGTGGTCCAGGGCCATCACCACACACTATTGAAGAATTCGCGGACCGCTTCATCAGAGAGCATGGCATCGAGGATGCGGGGCAGCTGGAGAGGGTGGTGGAAGATGTTGTGAGGCACAAGCTGGAGGAGGCTAAGCAGAGGATGGAGAAGAGGAAAGAGCTTGTAGAGAAGAACAGAGGGATTGAGAGGGAGTTGGAAGATCTGAGGCTGCAGAGAAGCGCCGAGTTGAGGGTCATGGAGAGGGTCAAGGGGAAGAGGAGATGAGAACTGAGAGTCACTGTGCCTGTGGACGTTGGAGTTCTTGTGTGAGATTACGTTGGAGTTGTTATGATACCCGACATTGGAATGTCAAAGTTATTGGGGCGCAGCGTTGAGTCCTAGGTGTAGCGAGATTCTGTGCATATTGGGGCAGGACCTCTCGACATTGGAATAATGCGATGCGCACACGTCAGAGATCCGACTATGGCTGTTCCTGTCTAAGGGCCAAGGCCATGATTGCCATTGACAACGTACGAGCATTGCGCGTATCATCTAGTAGATAGACGAGCAGACCCACGATATCCCAGCTCTCAGTGGTGACAACTCAAGCATAAATTAAATGATGCGCAGAGCACGCGCATCGCCCTAACCCGGTGCCCAGGCGACCAGCGACTGCACCCTGAACCGGGGGACAAAGCTACCCGACCGATCAGACTGCGTCAGTCCGCGGCATAGCAGAAGCTATGGCCAATAGCGTCATACCTCAACGATCATCACTGCAGCTTCCATGGATACACAGGACCCTTGATCGTCTCTGCCGCGTGGTTTCGCGGGTCATCTGCTTCGCCATCGCGATCTGCCCCTGGGGCTACCGCTACAGTCAGGACTATGCTCTTGCTCCAGCATGCGGGGGTGGATACCAGCCAACCTTGATTTTTGATCGCACTTTCTTAACTTCACTTTCGCGCTACATGTGACAGGACCGTCGCTCAACTACAACCACCACCAACACATGCGAACGACCTTTCACTGAGTGCCTAATCTACAGACAACTGAGCAGAACTGTACTGCGACACACCTCCAGCCAAAACGCCAACATGGCAGACAAACTCGGGAGTCTGGCCTGGAGCGGTTTCAAACTTGGGTTTGGACTGTTCAGCCTTGCCGGAGTATGGACCATGGCAGTCATCAAGAACGGGGCGCTCTGGGCGAAAGATAGCGACGAGGAGAAGCGCGCGTTGGCTGCTGCGCAAGAGAGTTTCTGGAGTCTTGACCGGGAGCCTCTTCCAGGTTTCAAGCATGCCTTCTACAAAACCACCAACGGTACCCGCCTGCACTATGTCGTTAACCAGGACACTGGATCGTCACCCGCGAAGAATGTTACCATCTTCTTACATGGTATGTATTCACCAGCAGAGTCATGCAGGTACCAAACTTTAATGGACTACGCAACTAACAAAGACCAGGATTCCCCGATTCTTACCTCATCTGGCGCCACCTCCTCCAATCCGCTTCCCTACAAAAGGACTCCATCCTGATAGCCGTCGATCTCCCTGGCTATGGCGGCTCCGACAGTCTGTCCGCATACGGCCCGAACGAAATGCTCGAGGTGTTGAGCGAGTTCATTGTTGGCATACGAGAGCAGTTCCTGTCGGAAGGCAAGAAGGTAGTGGTAGTGTCGCACGACTGGGGTGCGGTCATTGCTGGCCGGCTGGCATCTGAGGCACATGTCCTGGCTGACCACTGGATCATCACAGGCGGCGCCGTCACAGCTCTACTACACTCGAACGCGATGGACAGGATTCTGTTGGCGAAGCAAATGCTAAGGACATGGATACACTCTCCGTTCAACTTCCGTCTATTGAAGAATGGACTACACGCACTCGGTCCTGTGGCTGGACAGTTCCGAAGCTCTTTCTACATCTTCGTATTCCATCTACCCTGGCCTCTTCACAACGTCTTTGCGACTTTTGGCAACTACTTCTTCCTGCGTGTTCTTCACCAGTTCGGCAAAGGCACGCCGAAGAAGGGCAAGGCTCCTACTGTCTTGGAACCTACGGAAGCTGCTGAAGCAATGGCAATCTCTACTGGCCCCGGAAGTGCCCAGCTAGACAAGGCCAACGACAAGGGTGAACGATACGGCGATTCTGTCAAGAGCAGGATAGGCGACCGCGGCATGTCCGAGAAGACCCACATCTATCGCGACAGCCTAGCCTTCGGCAAGTGGGAAAAGTCTCTCGAGGTTACTGCCGCGCTGTACAACATTTCCTCTGAAGCTGCTTCTTCGCAGACCCTGTCCGCATCAGGCACCCTGTCCAGCATGGCACCACAAGGCGCGCTGAAGGCCCCTTCGACACTCATGATGGGACAATTTGACCCTGCATTCAATCAACGGCTCTCGTTTGACAACGCTCGCGACTATCTGGTCAAGGGAAGTCAGGTCGTGATTATCAAGGGAGCAGGCCATTGGTGAGTCAACCCGAACACCCCTATTGAGGCTACATTAGCTAATATTATGCAGGCTACCCCTTGAGCACACAGGTAGACGTGCGGTGGAGAAGACCCTGCAGTGGGCGTTGCAAGGTGCTGGAAGCGAGACGATACCCTTTGAAGCGATGAGCGATGTGCGCATTCTGGAGGCGTTGTAAGAGATAGCTCGCGTGTGATGTACGATCATGTAGCAGAAGAATTCCACAGTAGTCTTCACGATTTCAGTGCCTCACGTACAGCGTTTGCTCTTTCCCACCCTGGAGCGCACAGTCCTGGGTTGGCTAGGCTTGGCAACTATAGTACACAACACCCGGTACTGCCTCACCCACTTTGCCTTGATAACGCCTCAGAATCTCGGTAAGAAGATCATACAGATCCACGAGGCTCACAATCACAGAAGTGGGCGCGGATCCTTGAGTGCAGACAGTCTGCGCGTTAACACAACCTCAAGGTGAGTGCTTTGATCATTCTGTTCTAATCAAAAGCTCACACGGCCAATAGATTATTTTTCGGCGCAACAGAATCTATATGGACGATCCCGGCACGGAATTGTCTGCTACCTTCCAAGGCTGGTCGCGGCTCCCAGATGAGTTGAAGGTGCAGATATTGGCTCACAACCTTGACCAGAAGGACGGGATCAAGCCGAGTGAGCACGATCCAATCTTCGCAGACCAGCTCATGTCCACCATCGGCACCCGGGATCCGATGGACGGGATCAATTCGACTGCGCACACTCGTGTCTTCGCAGAACAGCTCACCTCCATTATCGGCACTCGGAACCGCGAACTCACTACGCTCGCTTTGGAGACGTACTATACGCGAAACGTTTTCAAGGTTACAATCGACATAAGATTTCCATCACACCGCACATACATTCAACATCCTCCGCCAGCTTACGGGCACCTCATCAGGAGGATGGAAGTACTGGTGTATACTTGCTACATGTACATGATGACTCCAAGATTGTTACTCCAAAAAAGTTCGACAATGCGTCACATTCTCAGCCCAGGTTCGCCGCTCGGAGGAGATGTCGCCCACAATCTATTAGATCTGTTACCGCACGATTATATCGTTAACTCGACCCTCTGGCAAGCAAACTTCATGAATCTACGCTCACTGGCACTCATGTTCGAGTACCCGATGCATAAGGAAGTTGCAGCAGCCTACCCTAAACCCCCTGGCGGTTGTGTTCGCTGTCGATTCAGTCCAGTTCGAGTCGAACGGGTCCTCGCGGCGGTACAAGAGATGCATATCGCGTTACAGTCCGTGAAGGCCACCGTTGTTTTCAACTCGCCCTGTCACTGTTTCACTCCTCTAGCCCGCGCGCTTGCACGAATGGCGACCAAGTTAGAGGACTGAGAAGGGAACAGCTGACAACAACGCTTTCCATTCAGACACCGCTGAAGGTGTTTGAGAAGACGAATGTGGCCCTCATGAATAAGAGCTGTCATCGCGTTTCGCCCTGGACCACAAACCTAGAAACGGAATACATAAAATGACAAACAGCTAAATGCACATCCTAGTATGCACAAAGAATCGAAAATGATATAAAACTCCCACCCGCGTCCACCCTTTCAAAGGCCATCTGTCCCCTGTCTACTAACCCCAAACATGGGTACAGCACTGTCACTAATACCCTGCACCCGCTCGCTCACCCCACTTGCCTCCATAGCCCGTGGACTGCCCATTGCAGGTGTGTTACTAGGCCAGGCCCACAGCGCATCGAAATCGATCTGCTCATCCTGTCCGCTCTCCTCAGAATGCAGACTGGGCACACGCGTTGCTTCCAAAGCAGAGAGGTCAAGCATTGCTGATAGCGAGGGCGCTCTCGAGGCCGATGTATACGATGGCGTGGCCATGTCTACCGGCGGGGGCTCTTGTATAGGAGACAGATGGACACTAAAGTCTTCTCCTGTGGGAGCAGGGCTGTTCTGAACGTTGCCATGGTGCTGGTTTTGTCCAAGATTATGGTGTTGCTCAGAGGCTTGATATGTTAGTACCGGTTCGTTGATCGGCGCTGTCTGCATGCCAGGATATATGTGTACGGGCACTTGGTGGAGTCGTGGTGTTGCATCCATCGGATTTGATGCGCGCGCTGGATCGGGTGCCTGGGGCGCGGCATTACGTTGTTGCTGCGGCATTGGCCTGCCGTAGAGTTGTGATGCGATGCTTGGCAGTGTTGCATTGCTTGTTGAATCTTGTCGCCGGCGTAGTCGTTGCTGTGCGACGACGTCTCGGAAAGAACTCAGGATGTATACTAGACGGCTTGCTTGTTGATCGCTCTCAGCGCAATAGTTCATAACGTTAATAGCATTGACAACGCAGTTGTCCGTTAGCTCGATCTGGTATAGGCCGGCAAAATCGCTTGCAAGAATGACGAGGGTGGCTGCGAAGAGGAAGTAGATAACGGCTGGGTTGCGTCGGGACAGATAGCCAGCCTCGTAAGCGTTCTGTATGAGTAAGATGGTATGCACAGAAGCGATGACACATGCCTCGCTGAATCGCTCCATGCGGTGGAAAGGACGTGGCCCTCTCGATCCAGGTTGTTCGACATGCCGCTGAGTCTCTTTGTTGAGTATGTACAGTAAGAAGGGTCGAGTAAGAAGTATGACGGAATGGCAGTAGAATAAGTTGACGTGCAAGATGGCCACGCCTTGACTGGGCGAGGCAGTCGCTGCTTGTCGCCATTGCAAGATGGGCGTCAGCAACCGGGGCCATGTCTTACATATGTCCGATATTTCTTGGGCGAGACGAGTGCTGATCTTGCGTTGCTGGTACACCCTCCGCAAGATGACGCCGATGACTCTGCAGCTTCGAACGGTGGCTTCCAGAGCAGGCGGGCCAGTCTCGTTGAAGTCGTACACAGTCTTTGCGCTGAAGCTCCATGACTGGTTGCGAACACTACTGTCGGGCGGGCGGAGTGTATCTCCTGAGCAGTCGTCTTCCGATATGGCCGTCGGACGGCCAAGAGAGCAAGAGAGTAAGCGATCCATCACGAATATCGACCGCCAAAGGTCCTTGCGCTGTGTTTGTTCTTCGGGGCTGAAGATGACCATGGTCTCTTCTCTGTGGAGGCCCAGCGCAAGCGCAGACCGTACTGCCATCCCGAGCAAAGCGAAAGCAGTGTTTCGCTTGCTTTTGGCCAACATGTAATATGACATGAGAAGCAACGCTTGGACAGACCAGAAATCCTGATCCTCCAAACCTGTCATTGGATCGTTCATGTTCCTAGCATTGAGATAGAAAGCCTCGGCTCTGTCGAGGTGTTCACTGCGAAGCTTGTCGATTATCAGCGCCTCAGAGCTTCCTGAAAGTGGTGTCGCCATGGTGAGGCCGATGGCGAAAACGAGGTTGAGCAAGCATGACCAAGATGTATCGACAGATAGCGGATCGGAGTAGCAACGCTCTAGTTTCTCAAGAAAGGAGTCACGTCGGAAGACCTGCAACAAGCCGTGAGTATTGACGAAAAAGGCATCCACCAGCACGCGTGCCGTTCGCTCGTCTGGGAGTAGACTCGACTGTCGATATCCCAATGGAAGTGAGTATTGGCCTTCGACTATCTTGTGACGACGAGGGTCAGTCGTAAACGGTGACGGGCCGGCTACCGTTTCGACCATCATCCGGAGGAGCTGAAGAAATGATAGGGTAGCTGCATCGCCAATGTATATCACGCGTCCCGTTGGATCTTGTAACATGCGGCTCTGGCTTGGAAACTCCGCTACTTCATCTGTGCCATCATTGGGAGTGGAGGCGTGTGTCGGAGTGAGCCGGTCACGAGTGTTATCATGACTGACAGCCAGACGATCGATTGAGCTGTTTGCATGCTCTATACTGGTTCTTGGGCCTGGAGACTTGAACGGTACTTCTTGCTTGACACTGAGTGTGCGTGTCAACAGACTTGGATGGTTACCGGAAGACGTGCGGTTATGTAATGACAGTGGCGTTGTCTGGGCGTGCTCAACAGCCGGTGTGTTTGCAGCCGGGTTGTCAGTTGGACTATAATGCGAGCAGTCAGCAAAGCTATGCTTGGAAAGTGTCTAGGCATGTAGCGGTGAATAATGCTTTAGAGGAGTGCAGAGTCCCATGTAATTGGCAGAGTGACGAGATGCGAGATACGTACATAGAACCGTCGCTGTCATTGCCACTTTCAATCGTACGTCGCTTTGCGGGTGGTCGGTCCTCGCCTGGAGAATTCGGATCTCGATCCGCGTATATGCAAGTAAACTTGCGCTATCTTTGATCAATACACTGCAGTATGCAATTGGGATGGGGGCCTAACCTTATCACATGTGTTGCAGGGACACAAGCCGTTGCACTGTGATCTGTCAGTCTCGTATGCCAACTAGACAGCCTAGTTGCACGTGTCCGCGAGTCATCCTGCGAAGAAGCCGATGCAGATGTTGTCCATGATTACAAAGCGTTCGGGTGAAGCATCGCCCAGCCGGACAGTTTCCTGTTGTACAACGTGATGGAGCCGCACAGCTAGCCGATGGCCTCCCGCAATGCCTCCACACGGCGATCGGTGAGCATACCAACCTCAAGATGCTAGCGTAATGGCATGCAAGAACTAAGTTGCAAGTCGTGAACGTTGACAGGGGTATATGCCAAGTGCATCTGTAGCCGAGTGCGAAAAAACGTCGTGACGCAACAGTTGAGGAAGTGAACCTACCTTTTGTTTTCTCCTCTTGCAACTCTCGCATGCCTGAGCGGTGCGCTGTCGTTGGTCTGCGACGCGTCAAATTAGCCGTGAAGTCGCCAGTACGGGCGCAGACGAACCTGGTGGGACCTTGGGTCGCGTCATCACGGTATCAAGTCCGCGGGCAGTCGCAGTCGTTATCACGTGCGAATCCGGATGGTCAATGCCTGGGAGTACATTGCCGACGCGACGGATGGATGAGCTGGTCGGAAGATGCACTCGTGGTAATGATGGAAGCGAGTCACGGAAGTCCCATAACGCTACGCGAAAATGACGCGGAAAAGGGTTCCCGCAGCCTTCGCCGTCTGTATTGATGAGAGGAAGACGATCACAGTAAGATCCTGATGGCCTTGCTGATGAAATTGGGTGACGAGTCCCTCGTGGTTGTCGCGAAGCTGCGAAGCTTGGGCTTCCCACTGTTCCGAAAATCGAGTAGCGCTGGACGTCTGCCGATCGTCATGAAATCGGCCTACAGACCCCAGCCCAGCCCGCCTTTAGACTCAACCCGTTGGTATGCAGGACGCTCTTAGCCGATGCTGATAGCAATGGTCATGACCGCATACGGTCAACAAGCTCGATATGCCGCTAATCAGCTTTTCAACGGCAAAGCCGTTACCACGCAACCTTACCTCGGGCCGTCTTTGGAAGGGCTACGAGTATTTACCCTGAGATTCCCTTTGCTACAATCTTGTACCGTTCTGTTTTGTCTTTACATTCTTCAAAATGGCGCCATACCTAGGATCTGACAATAGTCACCATCGAATTGCCACGCACGCCAACACATTGCTGGCGGGAACCACGGCAGCATTAGAACAATTACTTACCAAGGCGAAAGACAATCTGCCCAAAGAGTCGCTGCCACACATCGCCAATGTCAAATTCTCGACCGCAAACACCGGAAGCCCATACTTTCCCAGCCCACTGAAGCAAACAGAGGCCATCTCTGCGCTCAAGGCGGTTGAAGCAGGAGTTGCATCTGCCATCGCCGATCTACAAGATGCTCCAAAGCCACGGGGCATCGCTGTCGATCTCGAAAGAGCCACAGCTTTTCTATTCTCTACCTATCTAGCCACGGTGGGCGGGTTCGATAAATCGGACCCTAGGGCTAAGAAGCTACTTAAAGGTTGAACTCACTGCCTCAGCGTGCCCGACGATTAATACTGACCCAGACAGACACCGACTTGCTCCAAGCACAATCTATCCTGTACCGCAGACTATCCGCAAATCTCTACCAGACCAAGAACCCAGGAGAATACTTTCATCTTCATGGATCTCTTGAGGCAACCAAAGCGCTGAACATGATCGGTCTCGAAGGATCACGGCCTGATCTGACAGACTACCATGAATGCATCAAGGTCATCGAGGATCATGTCAGTCGATACACTGCCAATCAGCTCGAAGAGATGAATAAAGAGATTGGACAAGCTGGTGTGACATGCCTGAAGTGGGAAGATTTCCAAAGGACCCCACACGGACGTACACTTCTTCAGCAACCGCCTTGGAAGGTGGAAACTCTCGAAAGCGAAACTCCCGCGGCTCCTTTTCCGTTCAAGTCATCAAACACGCCCAAACCACAGATTCTTGCCGGTATCCGTGTTCTTGAACTGTGCCGGATCATTGCCGGGCCCGCTATGGGTCGGGGGCTCGCCGAATACGGTGCTGAGGTCATCAAAATCACATCGCCGAACCTCTCCGACGTACCTTTCTTCCAAGTGGATGCAAACATCGGCAAGCATACCACCGACTTAAATTTGAAAGACCCAAGAGACCGTCAGACCTTTGAGCAACTTCTTCAGTCGGCAGATGTGATATTGGATGGCTATCGACCCGGAAGTCTGAATCGTCTCGGATATGGGCCCGAGCAGCTCCTTCACCTTGCCAGAAAGCGCGGCAAAGGCTTCGTCTACGTTGCTGAGAACTGTTTCGGTCACACTGGACCATGGTCCTCACGTCCAGGGTGGCAGCAGATTGCAGACTGCGTGACAGGTGTGGCATGGGCGCAGGGTCAAGCAATGGGGTTGAGTGAGCCTGTTGTACCACCTTTCCCTATGAGTGATTATGGTACGGGATGTATGGGCACCATCGCTGCGTTAGTTGGACTCCACAGACGAGCAAAGGTTGGTGGAAGTTACCTAGGTACCACGTCGTTGGTTCAGTACGATATCTACCTACTCCAACTTGGACTCTACGACGACCGTATGATGGCGGAGCTACGCAAAGAACATGACCAGGAGTTCTTTCAGTTGCGACATCACGATTCGGTAGATGAAGTGGGAAAGAGAGCATTGAAGACGATGAGACGAACTCATCCAGAGCTCTTTGAAGACCGACACATGCAGGAGTGTTACAGCAAGGGATTCAACGCCAATGTCAGGACTATCCGACCCGTGGTCAGCGTTGAAGGTTACTGGAACGGCTTCCTACGCAGCTCTCGTCCCAACGGTTTCGATAAGCCTACTTGGGAAGATTGGGAGATTGATGAAGCCTTACTACGGACTTGAAGAGGCCCAGCCATTGTTGCGTCATAGGTCTTTCTCATCTTACCATGTCGCCTTGAATACCCAAATTAGCGTTGTTGCACCTGTACATCACGTCCTCCTTTCATTCCCATATCTCGTTATCATCAACCATTTTTTCCAGCTTCTCCTTGCTGATATTCCTTCACGATCTCGAACACCCAAAATCGCGCCTCGGCATGATGTGTATTGTGCCCCACATCGCCCCACAGTGTCGTCGGAGTTTCCCAGGCGGACTGGTGCAGCTTCCGACATACCACTGCACGATGTAAGCACACGTGCAATGCGTCTGGTACTTCCTTGCGGTACCACCGGCTGAATATGATGTCGCTATGTGTACCGTCATGTCGCCTCGTACGCGATGCTCGAAGTAGGAAGAAGGCCCGGTCGGGGATGATACCTAGGTACGCTAGGACACGCCTTCCGTCGCGAGACTAGCTAGGGATACAGTCGCTCAACACCGAGACGGGCCGCTAATGCTGGGGAACGACGCCATGGATCAGTGGAGAAAGCCTAGAAGAATTCCGCGCAGCATTACCTCGGTGCACCCGTTGGCTCTCATTACCCAGGTATTGGTAAGCGGCGCACGTGCTACGTGAGTGCTGAGGTAAGTACCTAGGTACCTTGCCGTCATGTCAAGCTTACTCAGGATTCTAGGTACTCTGTAGCCACGAGCTAACCACGGTTAGTATCTTTATACGATCCATGCTCAGACCGTTTGCAGGCGCACAAATTGTTGAACCGAGGTGCTTGCGGGTTGATTACATTTTGACTTTGCTATAGTGACGAAATTTGGCCGACGATGGTACCAACTGGATGGACAGCATGTTTATCGGACAATGCCTATATTACCGCTCTTTGGACCGCCTCGGAATTCAAAAAAAAATCCCTCTTCGGCCTTTGATGCCGCCAAAGTTATGCTTTTGCTACAAGCACTTTGAAACCCATTGACGAGACTGTATCTGTCTTTTGAGCTGGCTTATGTACGGTGTGAGAACATACGTCAATCGAATATCAGCATGATTTCGAATCAAGATGTTGAAACAGGTGGTGCTATTGATATTCCTGGATTGAAACGCCATGATTCTACGACGGAATTTGAAGGACGAGCGCCGCTCCTGGCATACACCGGCAACCGGCGATCATCAGAACAGTTGTACAAACCTTCGAATATGCCGGCTTGAAGATAGGACCGACAGATGTACCGCTACACTAGCTAGACTATGAGCCTGACCAGTATCCTAGCACTGCCTGGACATTATCATCGTCTCTAAGCTCGCGAGAATTCTCGGCATCTCTAGCTTAACGGTCTCCATGACACATACTCCGAGCTTGTGGGGACTCCACTTCACTGCAAGGCTAGATGTATCTTGCGTTCTCATGTCTCTTTTGCTCTTGCGTCCGTCACATCCATGATTAGCTGCAAGAGCTAGCCATGCAGAGCCTGCTTCTAGCTTTGTATCGCAGCCGTTTTCTTTTCTTGCTCTATAGGTTGCCCTTATTGCCGAAAGGCTCTTCTACGGTAGTTGATATCTGCCATCTCGTCTTCGGAGTCGCTACCGCCCTGCTGGCTGGGTTGCGCATGGCAATCCGTTGCCGTAGTCAATAGCCGCGGCGCGGCCTCCAGACTGTCAGTCACCGGGCCGCCGTAGTAGGGACGCTCTGCGTGATCTTCCTTATGTCTTATGCGAGGGTAATGCGAGTTGCGCGTGCTTGGGCGGACTGGCGATCGGATTGAATGGAAACTGCTGTAGGGGCGGTTGTCCGCCATGAGTTAGGTCTCACCGTCGGTTGGTGAGTGCCTCTGGGCGCAATGAGAACGGACGGCAGCCCGAGCACTTGACCAAGAAGCAGGCGACCTCGTTAGCATTGAGTCGACGTTCGCTCGCTGAATGTGCCTTTGACCCAGCTTGAAGCGCCGCCTCGTCGCTCATCGCAGCCCCAGTCACTACCTACCTAGGTAAGCCGAGGGGCGTTGAGCCACCTCCGTGACGCACCAGCAATGGAGAAGATACATACCTAGATATCGATAGCCAGAGACTTCATGCTATCCTGAAACTCCTTCCATTTGCACGGTCACCTTGCGGTCGACACTATTAGCTTTATCATGGCTACCTCGTCAGAAGACCTTACGTTCTTAGGGAAGGCTTCAATTACAAAGGAGCTCACATTCTTTTCTCTTACAGTCTCTCATTCTTGCAAAAGAGCAGTTTCGACTCCGGCTGACAATCAACTGTCATCGATGGATCACTGGCTACAACCAAGTTGAGCCACAGGGCGCCCTGGCGAGACTTGCAGCGAGAATGCCGCAATATGTACGCTAGTACGGCTGCTCTAATACCCCAAACGCTCATATTGGCACTTCGATTTTCGTTCACGGGCGTGCTGTCCCCGGCTAGCGTTGCCGTCGTAAGTGGTTGCCTGGACTCAACTACAACAAACGGTCACTCAACCACCACACTCCCCCTTCACCTGAGCAACTCCAGCCGACGCAAGCAGCCCGATGATCTGCCGGCCGGGCGCTAGTAAAGCATCACGTGACGCTAGCGCCGCCAAGCCCTGAGGGCCTACTTGGTTTGGCTACCTCCACGTCCACTACCATAACGCCCAATGGCCAACACATCAATTTGGGGCTCAGGTACCTTTTACCAAGTTTCAAGCTCTTACTCCCTCATCCTTCTTCAGCCTTGACCTTCATCACTCTGGTCTATCATGGCAACATACATTCACTCATTCTACCTTGGCACTTGGTATACTTGAACACTTCTTCGACACCTTCAACCTTCTCCAGTACTACACTATCACATCATGTGAAGCCTTGCTTTACTTCATCTTCGGATACCTCCAGGCCACACCATCATATCTTCCACCTCAGCCATCACTATGTCGGTATCCATCACCACTTCACTGGACGTTCATGTCGACATCACTTCACACCAAGTGCCATCTGCCATAGCCTAGAAGCTTTCAAGGTTTGCTTCTTTCCCCTCTCCGTTGTTCACTAACATGTCTTCTGACTTGTTCAGAACAAAAACAAAGTGGGTTCTTCATTCTTCTTTGATCATCCTTTACTGATCCTCACCAGAACAATATCAACAACTTCATTCAACTTCAATCACCTCCTTCCTTCATCGAAATCCACCTTGGACATGCTGGACTTCCACCTCACCTCACTTCATTTCACACCAACATCAACCTCATCATCACTCTGGATCTCCAGCATGCTCCTTCGCATACGACAAAGCTCAAGAACCGATCGGACGAGTCCACTTATCATCGACTGAACCAATCTGCGACCACGACAGATTGCTTCGACTCTCCTTACCGACCGCGGCGCGCGACAATGACCAGATCGAGTGGTTGCGACGGTTGAGAGACCTTTACAAGATTGTGTTGTGCTTTTGGAGCGCTTGACGGCTTGTGGTTGTGTCAGGAGGACTGAGGGTCAATGACAACTTGGTTGTTATACCTGGCCTACAACCACTACTGCGGTCTTGCGCACCCTGCTTACATACCACTGGCGTGCCTCGATGGGGTTCAGGTTGGCTTCGGCTGATATCAACGTGGTCACTGTTCGCAGAAGCATCCGGTGTGTAAGAGCTTTGGATGAGATCCTCTGCCGGTTGTTGGATTGGCGCACACTCGGCTGGTCAGTTTGGACTTGAAATGGTGGTAGGAGGTTTGGACTTGGTGGTGGTGGTGGTTCTTCATGGGCCTTTCGATCTTTCATGGTCTTGGTGGTTTGAGCAAGGAAACTTGTTGGTCTTTAGTGCAAGGAATGGCTTATGGTCGGGTTTACTTCAGTGTGTTGGTTCTTCAAGGATATCTTCAAGGGGGTTTGGTCGTGGTTGGAAACTTCGCAGCATTTCATCAAATCAATATGTGGACTGCAACTTCATCTTCTCTGCTTGTGACTTGTCTTCTCTTCTTACTTCCCCTCTTTACTTAGCATTATTGCCTCTTATTCCACGCAATGACCTACAGCGCCCACTATCCTCCTACTACTACCTTATACAAGTGAAAAGCTGAACACCCTAGAGCCGACTTTGTCGTTAGGCCACCTACTTTACATGTTTTTATCTAAATGTAGGCTCTATGGTGTTCGGGTCTTCCCTTGTATAAGGTGCTACTCCTCGCACCCTCAGCCACCATCACCGCGCCTCACCACCCACCTTCCCATCTCCACGGCCCAGCACCCCAAACATCCACTCCCCAATCTCCTGGTTCTCTTCCGGCTGCACAGGATAAAGATGACCCTGCTCCCAATGCCTTACCACACTCTTACCCTCACCAACCTCATACCACCCATCAATCAGTCCCTGACCCGCCCAGTTCCACTCATCCTGCAGACCCTGAACATGAAAAGCCGGCAACTTGATCTTCCCCTCCATCAACTCCTTGCGCTCTTCCACACTCATCCCAAACGACGAGACCGCTGCATCAAGCGCCGCAGACGCAGAAGGCGGTATCAGCGGCGGCGGATAAGATCCACAAACACTAAGGCCAAACTCAAAGTCCAGATACGCAAGCCGCGATACATCATTCCCCTTCTCAGCGAGTGCGCGTCGGATTTCGCAGCCTTTGAGCAGCCCGGCTACGACTTTGGTGCCTTGGGAGAAGCCGATCAGACCGACGACTTTGCCGCCGGTGGAGGTGATGCGCTCAACGGTGCTGCGGACGAGGTCTTCGACTTCCGAGGGCATGGCGGTGGTGGAGTTGCCGGCTTTCATGTCGGAGATGGTGACGCTGGATTGCATCCAGCGTTTGAAGGGCCCGCAGCCTTCGAAGAAGGGGAGGATGCCTGGGCCGGGTTGGGAGGGGAATGGCGCTTGGGATCGTTGTTAGTATGGGAGCGCATATCAAAGGGAGGGAAGGTAGGTAGAGATGCATACCTTCCAGACTCTCGACTTCGAAATGGTCTTTGATCACCCTCATCAGTCTTGCTAATTGAATCGTGTGTACGGTCGCGTTGCTTCCTGAACCATGGAAGGCTAGTAGTGTGGGCTTCACAGGTCCACCCATGCCTCCGAGTTTTGGCGCTGTGCTAGGCGTCATGTACGTGCTGTTCTCTGTTTGTGCTGCCATCTTGGCAAGGTGTGATGTAGGCCGTGGCTCGAAAATACAGTGGAATAGTCCCCCGTGAGGCTATCTATAACTCTTCGATGTTTCTCTTGGCTTTCTAGCTGTAAAAAAGGAGAATGCAGGGTCCGGTGCTGTTTTTCCAGATGGTGGGGGAGGGCGTTTGCTTCTTTTCGTTTGTTTCAGCTCGACACTTTAATTCCTTCCTTCTTCTGCTCTTTCTAAACTTGGACAAACAATAAAAGTCGTAGGTTTCGTTAGATGATTCCTGTACATGGGTTGAAAGGCATGTGCTTGGTAGACGTGGACAAGTGGCTGCTTATCGGGCCGTAAAAGTCGTCATTCGCCAAGGACGTGTGTATTGCTTGTATGAGAAATAGATATCTATGACCGTCGCATTAGAACTGAGACGCCGAGAAGTATCGTTGTTCAACAGAAACGTGTATGCTGAGGTACATGTCTACATGCAGGATGTAAGGTCAAGACCGAGGATGCCTGTCCTAGTGGGGTCTAGTCAGAGGCGAGTTGCGCCCATAGATTACGCACGCGTTCGCTCGTCGCATGGCTTATAGACTGAGAGCACCCAACCAAGATGCGTCAACTCATTATTTGGTTTCTCATTCGAGTCTGCTACTTGGAAATCGTTTGTCTCGATTCTGGTGCTCCTTCTTGAATCCCATAGCTTGCATTTGAACTACGCCTTGCTCACTCGCTAATAGTACTTCATAGGAAGGATAAAGGGAAGAAAAGAAAAGACAACAACGCCAGTCACCCGTACTCAGGCTCAAAAGTTTGTTGTACCAGCCCTAGGTAGCGTGTTCGACGAACCACTCGAAGCTTTGCTCCTCGTTCCACTCATCCCAGAGCTCACACTCGTTCTTGAGCTTGCCCTTATTCTACCCTTATCCCCCTCCTTGATCGACCTCAGGATCTCAATGCCCTCAGGAGTCTTTCCCAACCGAGATACGAGCGTCGTGTTTTCATGTTGCAGGTCACCAATCTGCTCCTTAATCAACTTATTCTCCTGCTCCAGTATCTCCACGCGCTGCTTGAACTCGTCCCGCTCGCGTTGCGCTTTAGCAAGTTGGTTCTTATCTGCTTCCTTCTGCTGGCGAAGGAGCAGCTTCCGTGTCTCCTTCTCGCGACGCTCCTCGAGTTTGCGCATCTCTTTCTCATACTTCTCTTTCTGTTTCTTCTTCTCCCTCTCGTGCTTCTCATTCGCTTTTTGCATGTCCGCATTCGCCTTCTGGCTTTCAGCTTGTAGTCCCGACTCCTGCTTTTCGCGCGCTTGCTCGAGTTTTGCCTTCAGCTGTTCCTTCTTTTCTTCAATCTTTTGTAAGCCCTTGTGATGTGGGCTGTCTTCTGTCAACGGTAGGGACTGTTGCGACGAAGTTGATGGCGTCGGGATCTCTCGGTCGATTGGGAGTCCTTCGCGGGCAGTAGTGAACTGTTCTGCAGATGCGAACGAATCGCCGGAAGACGACGAGCTTGAGGAGCTATCGGATCTTGTGCGTTGTAAGCTGTATTGGCTGCCAGCCTCCCCAGTCTTGTCCACTATGCTGGTTCCTATTCCGGCACCCATACCGTTCGCGTCAGTTGCGGAGAATGTCCGCCCAGTGTCGTGCGCTTTGGGCGTCTCCGCAGAGTCGTCTTTGCCTGCCATTCCATCTGCCTCGACGTTGTCGTCTTTAGCACATGCCCAGTCAAGGAATTTGACCGCGTCCTGGACTATGCTGCTAGGCACATTCCGCTCGACCATGAATCGAGGAATACCACCACCAGGATCACTGCGAGTGACCATTATCCACTCGATAGGGTTGGTCTCTGCGTCGCCGTCGCCTATGGGTATCTCCCTGATCATCTCAATCGACTCGTAGAAGCCTCGCACCATGTTGCTTCGCGGCGGCGCATCCGGATGTGAACAGGGTATGGAAACGACCATGAAGTGTCGCGGTGTTGAGTTGGCGACTTTGGAGGCATCGGTAAGACATGTATCCGAGGTGATGAGTAGGGTGATGAACTCTCGCGGTGAGGTGGGGCCAGGGAACTGCGCGGATAGCTGGTAGACTGCGCCTCTGTTAGTCGCTACGGGTACCTGGAAATATTCGCTCTCCCATACCTTGCAGTTGACCAACGCCGTCGACTGTCATGTCCTCTAGCCGTTGGTCGCCTCCAATGCCTCGTATGTTGCCCTCGCCGGGGCCGCCCTGGACTTCCAGACTCTCCGGGAACTCCCTCTTCATGGCGCGCTTCCACTTCTCGAACCCGAGGCCCTCGTGTACGCTCGAGCGCGAAAACCAGGCTCCGTGCCTGTCCTTTCCGGCCATCTTATACACGCTCATGCCTGTAGCGGCGTCATTGTTTCCTAGCTTCACGGGCTTGCCCCATGACTTCTGCAGCTCTTCATGCTCTGGCGCAGGTGGTGGCCGGCGGACTTGGGAAATTGTGAGGTCTTTGGAGCCCGTTGCAGGTTCTTGCTCGGTTCGGGTTCGTTGTGACGACTCGTAAGGCGTTCCATTGGGTGGTGGAGGCACAGAGTTCGCGATCACTTCTGCTTTGGCCAGTATTTCGGATAGGAATGTCTGGAGGTTGTCGGTAGGGACGTCGCTAAACTCCTTCGGCCGGAGGCACGCGAGCGCTTCGTGTAGCTCCGACATGATAATGTCTGACGGAAAGATGGGACTTGGAAAGATCTGGGGAGGTAGTAACGAGGGATTCAAAGCCACAGGATACCTAGACCCTTTGTGGCTGCTCCCAAGCTATATGTGTGCTGTGAATGTTCCGAGGTACCCGTGGTGCCAGCTAGCAGGGTCCGGTGACGGACGATGAAATCATTACCTGCGATTATCGATTCGATTTGCAATGAAGATGGAGCTTGAGAAAGAACTAATAACGAGTAGCAAACTAGGCGAGCTATTTTCCTATGCTGAATTGCGAGGGCTCCAGTCGATATGGCAGTTGTTTGCATGTGCAGGTATAGTTGATGCAACGTCATCCCTGCACGTCGCTCGCTCTTCCCAATCCGCGACGCGTGACGCGGGGTCGCCCGCCGCGCCACCGACGTATCAATCCCTGGCTGCCCTGCATACGAATACGATGGCAGCCACTACGTCACATATGGCAAAGCTTGCGAAATTGCGACCTTCACGTTTGCTAACATTCTGGCTTGGTATAGCACTCGATGAAACGCACCACGCGGATATAGAGTAGAAGAAATATTCTATCTATCTAAGACGTGCTGGACACGTAGAGAGGGGTATTTCGCAGGTCTAGCTAATGCAGCAAATCAACATATTCCAAAACAACAATCCATGAATTACACAAGTACGTATAAAGCACACATCTGTCAAGCTGTTAGTCTCCATGAATATACGCCGGAAGTTCATAACTTACCATGCTAAGCCCCAAGATCATGCTGCACCAAAAGAGGACGTTGTTCAACAGAGTGCGGCCTCTAACCCACTTGCTCCGTTGCAACATTACAATCGGCATCTGGAGCATCATCGCGACGAAACCGTAGCCTCGGAACTTTCGCGTAATGCAGCCCATGACAAGCTCATGCGCCAACGCAGAGATGAGGAAGGTGATTGTCGTAGCCAGAGGACGCGACATGTGGTTCTTAGACGCAGAGTAGACGTGTCGTCGGAAGAAATGGTGACTAAATCACAACGCATCTAGTCAGCGTGTTTCTCACATGCGACTCGTACAGGGACGTGACTTACACAGGCTTGTTCCATTCGCGCGAGAATTCTAACCAGTCGCAGCTGTTCCACCAGTCTGCATAGAATTGACGGTCGGCAAAGCCTGCAACTCATGTTAGCAGCGGTCGCTGGGCTTGGCAGTGGAAACTCACGTGTTATCTCTGCAAAAGCACCCAGGATGTACTCAAAGATGACGAGGAAGACTAGCAGGAAAGTAATCATGAATGGAAATAGCAGACGACCGATAGTCTCGCTGAGAATCAACGTGAAATCCGTAGCACCCTTGGAATTTTGGAGTCGCACAGCCGATACGTCCAGCACTGGGAGGATGAACTCCTCCGCAGTAATGACCATCAAGAAGATGCATCCGAATACGGCAAGAGTCTTGTAGAAGACCTCCAACCAGCGGATGTTGGTGTTCCTCGGGTACTCAAGCTCGTAACACAAGGTTGGGCAGAAGATAAAGTCGACAAAGTTATACAGGGTGAGGTTGTTGGGGTAGGAGACGTTACCGAGAGGCGAAGCAAGCTCCAATGCGAGATCATCTCTCAGTTGGCCAAGATACTCTGCATTTGCCTTCTTCGGGTCCGGCTCCTCCTGTGAGGGCGATTGCGGGATCTCGTGCAAATGAGTGCTTGAGCTTGGATAGCGCACTGCAGCTACCTTGCTGGCCTTGTCGGGTGTATCAAGATCGTTCAAGCGACGTAGAGTTTCGCTAAGATGACCGTTATAGAAACTTCACAAGGTTAGCCATGCAATCGAAGCTCTAGTTACTTGGTGCCATACGCGTAAGAGTGCATCTTCATGAAAATCGCAAGCAGATGCAGAGTGAAGAAAACCTGCGCGGTCCAGCTCCAGTCCCGAATGAAAGGGTATCTTTGCATTGGTCAGTCTACAGTACAGTTCATTGCCAGGGCCAGCGTACGTAGTCCAGAAAGCAAGCCATATTGCCTGAAATATGCTCTGTATAGCTATGCCAGACGTGTTCCAGCGTAGAGACCCCTGTTTGAGAAACAGCCTCTGGAGTGGCAGTGACAGGGCGGTGCTGAACACCATGGCCCCGTCGACTAGACCAAGCTCAACAACCTTCTCCTTGAACAGCGCCCACTGTCGCATCTGGAAGGGGTATCCGGTCTCGGTCATGTTGCGTAGCATCGATGTAATGACCATGATGGCAAGTCCGATCCAGAACAGGACGAAGAAGCCGCGGAAGTCATGGTAGTCGCTGTTTGGGTCAAAGTGGGAGACGCGATCCACGTAGTCTATGGTAGGGAATATACGCTGCTTGTGCTGGGCGCGTATCTGCCTGCGTGCGGACGAGGAGGCCTGGACGGAAGGCGGGGCATCGTCGGGTATGGGTGTGCTTCTTCCACTGCTGAGGTCAGCCATGTATCGCGTCGAGAGAGGTGCCCATGTACCTAGAGATGCCTGAGCCGGGCTCCCGGAGCGTGCCATTCTTGTTAAACGCCTCGTCGCTGAGTTGGGGCTTGAGTAAGTCGATTCTCGTGGGTTTGCGCGGTCGCGGCGAGTGGAAGTCGGTGTTGCCGTTGTTAGCATTCGCGTCAAAAGACGTAGACTCGGCCATTATGAGGAGACGTGTATGCGCATGTCACGGAGGAGAAGTGGGAAGGAGGATTCAAAGTGTGGACAGGCCAGACTATGATCCGCAACTAACAGGGTCACTGGCTGTGTCAGACGGGGCAGTGAGTAGCAGACGAGGCTTCCGGACAACCGCTCGACACAAACAGGTAATGGAGAGGTAACAGGCTTGCATTTGATACGTATATATGCTACAAGGAATATGCAAGTACATGCGGTCTGCTGATGTAGTGGTGGCCTAGCGACTCGGAGAGTTGGCACTGAGGGTCGAAGGGTCGGTTACATCAGCGGCCGCGCGAGTCAGTGCGGGCGTCTTGGGAGCAGTGCCAGGAATTGTCGTGTTTCTTGGTACGCAGAGTAACGTGCAAGTAGTTATATCTCAGGGTTTTCTTAGAAGATTACGCCAGAATCTATGCGCATTAGAGATAGCCAGAGTTTAGGGTAGAGTAGAGTCTAGGCATGCGTACCCGTTGGTGGTGGCAGGTGCGTCCGACCTCTGGACTCTGGAACAAATGACGGCCCGGCCAGCTGTAGGCCATGCCCAAACGTTCCGCCTACCAACGCGCAGCCAGGACAATTCACATAGTCGCCCGTGACCAATCCATAAAACCCATCGACGACCGAATACCATTCTCGTCCTCTCCCGCCTCTTTCCCATCGAACCCTCTTTCGCTGTCCGGGTGGGGTCCAAGAGGCCACCGCAATGGCTTCCTGTACGCCAAGCACCGCGACCCCCAGCAGCTGAGGACTTGTGCTAAGGATATACAGTGAAGCAGTTTATTCGCAATGTGCGCGCTGCAAAGACAATTGCCGACGAGCGTGCGGTCGTGCAGAAAGAGAGTGCCGCCATCCGCGCCAGCTTCAGGGAGGAGAGCCACGACTCCAACGTGAGGCGGAACAACGTCGCAAAGCTACTGTATCTCTTTACTTTGGGCGAGCGGACACACTTTGGTCAGATCGAATGTCTGAAGCTGCTGGCCTCTCCGCGCTTCGCCGACAAGCGGTTGGGATATCTGGGTACCATGCTGCTACTGGACGAGAACCAGGAAGTCCTGACGCTGGTGACGAACTCGCTGAAGAAGTAGGCAATGGTGCTCTCTCTGATATGGATCCACATGCTAAACAATGTGTAGCGACCTCAACCACCCCAACCAGTACATCGTCGGCCTCGCCCTCTGCACGCTCGGCAACATCGCCTCCGTCGAAATGGCTCGAGACCTGTTCCCGGAAGTCGAAACGATAATATCGAGCGCGAACCCATACATACGTCGCAAAGCCGCAATCTGCGCCATGAGGATATGTCGGAAAGTGCCCGACCTCCAGGAACATTTCTTGGAAAAGGCCAAGTTGCTACTACAAGACCGAAACCACGGCGTCTTGCTGTGTGGCGTCACTCTAGTAGAGAATCTCTGCGAGGCGGACGAGGCCGAGGATGACGAGAACGGTGTGAGGGACATCTTCAGACCCATGGTGCCCAGCCTAGTCAAGATATTGAAGGGGCTCTCCTCGTCTGGTTATGCGCCCGAGCACGACGTGACAGGCATCACAGACCCTTTCCTACAATGCAAGCTACTCCAGCTTCTACGAGTCCTGGCCCGTGGCGATGCGCAGGTTAGCGAACAGATCAACGACATCCTAGCCCAGGTCGCAACCAACACAGACTCCTCGAAAAATGTCGGCAACTCCATCTTGTACGAGGCAGTGCTCACAATCCTCGATATTGAAGCAGATTCCGGACTTCGCGTGCTTGGTGTCAACATCCTAGGAAAGTTCTTGTCAAACCGTGACAACAACATCAGATATGTTGCGCTCAACACACTGATCAAGGTTGTCGCAGTCGAACCAAACGCCGTGCAGAGACACCGCAACACCATCCTGGATTGTCTACGGGATCCTGATATTAGTATTAGACGGCGAGCGCTTGACCTCAGCTTTACCTTGATCAACGAGAGCAATGTGCGAGTACTGATAAGGGAGCTCCTTGCTTTCTTGGAAGTTGCTGACAACGAGTTTAAACCTGTCATGACCTCCCAGATCGGTGTCGCAGCAGACCGCTTCGCACCAAACAAGAGGTGGCACGTTGATACCATGCTGCGCGTGCTGAAACTCGTAAGTCAATCATGTTCCTGTAAGCTGCATGTAACTAACGTACGCATCAGGCCGGAAACTATGTCAAAGAGCAGATTCTGTCCTCCTTTGTACGACTGATCGCTACCACACCTGACCTCCAGACCTATTCCGTACAGAAACTCTATGCGGCCTTGAAGGAAGACATCACACAGGAGGGTCTCACATTAGCCGGTTCCTGGGTCATTGGAGAGTACGGTGATGCACTGCTTAGAGGTGGTCAGTACGAA